TTTCCCTGGACTCTCTGTGATCTGAGTTTTTTTCTCAGGGAGGAGGAGACGCGTGTGCTCCCTCCCTCCGTGGGAAGGCCCTGAAACCGTGGCTGGCATGGAGTTTTCTGATTGGAGGAGATGGGACACCCACTGAGCACCCACCTTAGAAAGGCCTGTCTCAGGAGGGAGGAAGATTTTCCGTTATAAACCCCTACTGCTGGCTGGCAGTTGTGTCCGGGGGCCTCGAGAGAGCCTTGTGGGGAGGGGGAGAGGACAAGGGGCACCCTCTCTCAGTGGGACATCACTTTGGAGAATTGGGATGAGCTCCTTAGCTCTAAACTACCTTCCCTCTGCAGGCTGCCCCCAGGGATCCTAGGCCCCAGCTTGCACAAGCTTTGGGACACTGCTTTTTAAAATAAGCCTTGAGGACTTTTTCAAGGCACTAAGTTCCAGGGTGTTCTTGGAAAAGGTATATTTAAAGTCAAGATCCCTGCTCCATGCTGTGGCCTTCGTGGGAAACAGTGCTGGAGTCCAGGGCTTGAAGGAGAGCTGCTGACCCCTGTCTTGACTTCTGGGGGACTATGACCAAGTGAGTGGGGGCTGGGAGAGCAGGCTGGATGACGGTTTCTTCACAGAGAGCTGGTGGGCAGTGACGGCGGTGAGTGGGGATGCTCCAACAACTGCATCTTCAGAGACTGGATAGAGAGCCGGATCCTGAGCCCGGGGCTTCCAGTCAGCCGTGCTTGGCAGGAATGGGGAGTGAAGAATGTCAAGAGTTGGAGTGTGGTGACTCACCCCTGCTCTCGGTGTGCCTCCATCCTCTCCCTCTAAGCCCCCACAGGTTCAAGAGCCTGTGTATTAGTCAGCCTCTCTTAGAGGCTGAGAGACCCTTTGGGGTTACCTTTGGTAATGGGGATTTATTGTAAGGATATTTCTGGAAATACACACGAAGGGCAGATTCTCTGTCTTCACCTCCTTCAGCTCCCCAATCCAGCCCCCCTCTTTCGCCTCCTAACCACCACACCCACTCTCACAAGCATCCTCTTCTCTGTCCTCCTAGGGAAGTGGCAGGGACTGAAGGAGTAGTTAGGGTCCACGTTCCTTTCTGTCTGATCTCTCCCAACTTGAAAAGCATCTCGGCTCTTTCACTAACTATCCCAGTACTTACACCAAAGAGTATCGTTATCTTACCCAAGCCTATGACCTTACGCGTCATGATTTACATGTTATCCTCTCTTCCACCCTGACCTCTGACAAAAGGGAACGTGTTTTTCAGTCTACTCAAGACCATGCAGGTCAGGTTCACTTAACTGATGCAGCCAAGCCCCCAAGCTCTGAAGCTGTTCCCCACCAAGAGCTGGGGTGGGACTACCAGACTGACACGGACATGGGCCCCCGGGGCAGGGCTCACTGAGACAGCTGTCTCCTAGCTGGTCTCCAAGCAGGAGCGCATAAAGCTATAAACTTTGATAAGCTCAGGGAGATTACCCAGTCTGCCTCAGAAAACCCTGCTGCCTTCCATAGCTGCCTCACTGAGGTGCTCCAGTGCCATACTGCTACAGGGCAGGAGAGGGGCACCCCAGACCCCACAAACCTGCCTGCTCTAAATAGGTTCTGCCATCTGCCGCATCAACACAAAACATATGAGACTTTAATGGGAGGGAACTTTAATGCAATTAGGAAACAATACAGGAAAGATAAAGAATATAGTTTTTAAATCAAGCACCCAAAGTGACCCGTCCCCTCGTGGGTAAAAGTCCACCCAAGCAGGATTGGCCCAGAGCAAGGCCCCAAAGCCTGTCACAAGCCTAAAGCATCTTCCAGTGGGGACCCACAGAAAGGAATCAATCAGACAAAGAGCAAAATCAAAATCAAGACAAAACCCGCCACTGTCACCTCCCCATGTGGGTCTCTCACTCACATCTGTGTCACCCAGTCCACCACCAAAAGGCAAGTGCAGTTTCTTCACGTGTCTCTTGGCTCCATGCGCCTCCTCTAAGTCTCCTCCTGGCTCCATCCTGCTTCCTCCTCCCTCAGTCTCCTCTGTAGCTTCTTCTCTCCCTGCTCAGCTCCACCCTCCCTTGGGTGGGACATGGAACCTGGAACCTCCCCCTTTCCTGGGGACCACCCTGTTACAATTTGAAACAGTATAGGAACAGAAGGAGCAAAACAGCTCCCCTGAAAAGCCAAGTGCTTTACTGAAATATTGCTGAGCCAGCCACCACCTAGAGTAAGATCTGGTTACAGGATAATTAGGAACAGACATAAACAACCACCAGGAACCTTCCCCACCATGTAGTGCCTAATCAATAGTCCGGCACATTGGACAACAGGAGTCTGACAGTATACAGTCACACACCAGGCTGGAGTGAAGGGGCAGCCTCCTGTGGGCCCCTTCCTGCTGTCAGGAGTTCTTTCCTCTTGCATCAATAAATCCACACTTGCTTGCTCTCACGTTGGTGTGGCTGTTGGTACTCTTCAACCAGTGTACACACCCTGACCCACAAACATCCACTCTCCTAGCAGGAGCAAGGATTCAAATTCCATTTGAGAATGATTTTTAAAAATCACTTGGCGTGGACTCCAAATTTATCCCAACAATAATGTCACTTACTCTGTGGCAATCTTATGTGTTTTCCTAAGTCAGAGATACGGGCTGGAGCTACTAGCTCCCCAACTCTTTATAACTTGCACCCCACTTTTCATGCTCCTGATACCAAAATTTTGGGTTTTCAGGCCTAGTCTCCCAGCCAGGAATGATCGCAGGCTGCAGTGGCAGCGCTAAGTCCCAGCCACTAGACCACTACCAGTTGGTGGCTCATGAGGCTGCAGCAGGAACTTCGCAGACGCTCAGGCCAGCAAGCGAGAAGCAGCGGATTAGTTTAGAGAAAGAAAAAGTTTACTGAGAAAAGGAACAGAAATAAAGTGGGACTCCCAGGCCAGTGGAACCAGGCCAGGTAGGGGCAAGGAAGCCAAAGTGGAGTCTTGCCTCAGGGAATATAGACCTTCTTTCCCTTATTATTCTAAAGCTCCACCAGTCTCTTGGTGATTGGTTAGCTCTCAGTGGTCTCACTCACTGCCTAAATATCTCTTGCCCTGAACTAAATCTGTGTCCCAGCCCTTATCATTTTTTCTTTATTGTCCTTGTCCAGGAATGTCCTGTGGTCTCCTAGTCCCGGGGTTTGTGATTAGTCCCCTTTGGAATTTGTTGCCTTTATCTCTGAAGCCTTCCTTAACTGTCCTGAAGTCTTTCCTATTCTTTTTTGTTGTTGTTAAGATTTATTTATTTGTGCATACAAGAACTGGGGTACAGGCCAGAGGTGCGGGGGTGAGAGTGTTAGGAGTTGGCGCCTCAACTCCGCCTGGGGTTCCCAAAGACCACACGGAGCCAGAGATGCAAAAGCAAAAAGGCTTTATTGCTAGCTTAAGCTAGGGCCCAACTCTGCCAGGTGTACTGACACAGCAGTCATCAGGTTGAGAGAGGGACCTCCCAGAGCAACCAGCTGTTTTTGTACTTTGTTGACAGGATGCAGGGACTTTTCACACCTGGGGCAGGGTCCACCCTGATTGGATAGCTCTCATGGTGCCAGATAGGTTTCGTTTACCCTTGTCTTGTGGTTTTTGTCCTGAAACGGCACTAGCTGTGCCCTTTTGAGATGGCAGTTATTTCTCAAAATGGCTGCAGTCTTGCTCATCTTATAATAGGATTCATCAGAGACAGAGTGGGGAACAGAACACACAAACTGACTGAAATACACTGCTGAGGGTGTTAGGGGGAAAAGGATGTTCCAAAGCTATTTCCATATAGGCTTTGTGGACTCCACCCCTACCTCAGGTCAAAGCCAAAGACACTGGGAACTCCAAATCCCATCACCACCAAAGGGAAGGTGGCTGGGACCTGAGGGTGGGGTTAAGCAGCCAGGTGGATATAAAAGGCAGACACGTGGGCTTTGGGGATCCCCCATTTTTGGCTCTCCGCCAGCTCGTAGCGTGTCCGGCCAGCTCTGAGAGTGACTTTGGGTTTCCAGGTCGTTGGATCGGGTAGGATGCTTAAAGACTTTATTTCCCTATTTTCTCCCTGAGTTGTACATTTTCCTTCTTTCCTTTTCCCTTGTAAATAAACCTTTTATTAACCTTTTGTGTGTGTCTGTAGTAGAGTATTCATAAGTCCCTTTAAAGTGCGCGGGTGAGGACCCACAGCCAGGAACCCGTTTAATATCGGGGTTGCTCTATAACAAGGGGAGCAGCAGGCAAGTCAGGAGAGGTCTGCTGCACCAAGTGGGTAGCTCCCTGGCTGGGGACTGAACTCATGCTGCTGTGGCTGCGGATAGCTTCATAGGTGGCCTCTTAACTCTTGCGTCACCAGGGAGGCCCCTGTAAGTCTTTTCTATTCTATTCTGACCCTAAGGGCTCGCCACTTGCCCTATGCCTCACTCTCACCTGAAATCTGAATATAGCCGTGCGAGCCAGTCAGGCACGTGAATTTCACCCAACATGTGTGGCGGTGGGGCAAAAAAGACTGTAAACCAGGTGCCTTGCTGCCTGCTCTCCCATTTGTCATTTGGAACTTTACCTGAAGTTTGAACCAGATACTTCCAAAGCCGGTCCTGACACTCAAGTTAATCCCCAATGCCCAAAAACTAGGAGGGAAGTCATCTTGTTTAGGGATAAAAAAATAAGCTTTATTAACAAATGCATATGCAGCTAGTCAACACTCCCTTAGGGAGGTAAAGAAAAAGAAACCAACTATGTCTTCTAAGAACAAAACTGCTTCCTGGAAAAAAGGGATGACTGGATATTTAACTGAAGACTCTTCTGGAGATTGTTGATTTTATAGGGGTATGCAGAGTTGATTGACTTTCTGGATATGGACTGTTTTATAATTTTGCAGTAGTAGAAGTTTAGAAAGATGAGAACAATGGAAATGATTCCTATCTGGAGCAACACAAAGGATTCCTGTTCATAGTAATGCAAATGAATTTTGTTCAATAGAGACATAAATATTTGTAAATCAAATAAAATATTAGACACATTTATTAAAAAAAAAAAAAAAAACCTTTCCTGGAGTTTAAGCCAATGTAGTCCCAGTGGGGCAGGAGATGGGAGCACATGCCGTGGGGCGGAGCTCAACATATGGGTCAACAGTTGCAAGGACTGGTGTCCCCAGGTCTCAAGATTTACAGTGACTTGTACCAGTTACGCAATGAGGCGAGAGGGCTCTGGAGCCAGGTCGGGGCTGTCCTTTTCTGATCACTCTCAGCCTTTTCCCGCTTGACAGTCTTAAACAGTCGCTTCTTTCTTTCTGTGTGTTTCAGGCAGGACCATTTGAAGAAGTGCCTGCTTAGCTGAGTAAGCCTGGAAGTAGAGGCATACCCCGAGGCAAGAGAGTCTTCGATGGCCTTCAGGACATTATGGGCCAAAATCGGGATATCTTCCATAGGGTCATTGTTGAGGGATGTTAGAACTGAAAACAGAAAAGAGGAAACTCAGACCCTCCATTGCCAAACCCCATTATTTTACAACCCACATGCCAGAAGAACTTTTAACTTTTATTAAAAGTAATACTTGATGATAGAAAAGGTCTACAGACAAATTTTTTTTTATTAAATAATGGAAGAAAAGTCACTCATCCCCAGAGATAACACTTAATATTTTCATACTTTTCATTGCAGTAGTTTTAAAATACCTGATACTATTTTTTATGCTTATTTTATTTATTTATGCATACAAGAACTGGGGTGTAGCCAGAGGTGCGAGGGGAGGGCGAGGTTGGGTGGTGCAGTGGCTACAGTTAGCTTCATAGTGTTGAGACTTAGCCCCTCATGTAACAGGGGGGTCCCCAGGAAAGGGGGAGGTTCCAGGTTTCCTGCCCCACTCAAGGGAGGGTGGAGCTGAGCAGAGAGAGAAGCAGCTGCAGAGGAGACTGAGGAGGGAAGGAAGCAGAATGGGGAGCCAGAAGGAGACCTGGAGGAGGCGCATCGAGCTGAGACATGTGAAGAAACTGCTCTTGCCTTTTGGTGGTGGACTGGGTGACAGACGTGGGTGAGACACCCGTGGGGAGGTGACAATGGCGGTTTTTGTCTTGATTTTTGCTCTTTCCCTCCAGACTTTTCTGGCTGTTTCTGATCCTTTTCTGTGGGTCCCCATTGGAAGATTCTTTAGACGTGTGGCAGGCCTTGCTCTGGGCCAATCCCATTTAGATGGACTTTTACCCACAAAGGGACGGGTGACTTTGGGTGCTTGATTTAGAAACTATATTCTTTGTCTTTTCTGTATTGTTCACTTAATTGTATTAAAATTCCTTCCCACTAAAGTCTTATTTGTTTTGTGTTGATGCAGCTGGATGGCAGAACCTATTTAGAGCAGGCAGGTTTGCAGGGCCTGGGGTGCCTCTCTCCCTGCCCTGTAACACTCTGACACTATTCAATACATTTTATCATTTCTGTGATGGACCCCATTAGCAGATAATTAAGTCTTTTGCAATGCTTCACTCTTGTTATTATCCACACTGGTGGAGGATAAGGATAGAAAAACTGGAAAGGAGGCGCCACAAGACCAGAAACCTGGGTTACACAATGCCAAGAGCTGGAGGTGTGGGTAGAGGGATTAACATACCCTTTAACCCAGCTAAGGGAACTCAGATCCTTAGCCAATGCCTAGACACAAAGCACAAGACCCAAGCAGGCATCAGACTGCTGGAGGGGGTGTCGGGAGTGCAGACCTGAAGGTGAAGATCTGCAGATGGAGGCCATTGTAGAAATCTGGCCCCTTTCAAATTCTACATGTTTACTCCAAGTCAACAACAAACAAACCACTCCAGGAAGGAGTGAGCCCCTCCCAAAGAGAAGGAGGCTGTATCTGTGCAGGCTCTGCAGTGTCCCAGGCAGCAGTCCTCTGTCCACTGTGTCTATGTAGGTTCTTCCTTTTCACCAACTCTCTCCTCCGCAGGGCAGCAGCCTTTCTGCCTGCCGTGACCTGTGCCAGGCCGGAGATTCGCTTCACTGACCTCCTGAAGCTGAGGCAGCTCTCCTCAAGGCTGCCCACCTGTGACCATGCAGGCCTTTCTCTTAGCAAACCTGTCCCTTTCGGGGCAACCCTTTCTGCTGATCTGTGTCTATGCAAGTGTCCTTTATTCTCTCCCTTTTATATAAACCTGCCCTCTCGGATGTAACTAACGTCTTTGTGTCTGGAGAAGCTCTCTGGGGAGTTCGCCGATGCTGGTGGAAGGGAGCGATGGTGACACCTTTTCTAGAGTGAACCCAAGGACCCCATGAACCCAACAACTCCAAAAACGACATGAACATCACAGTCATCGTTAATTTGCCCAACAACCATCTACTGAGCCCTGACTACCACCAGGTGCTGTGCGAACTACTGGGGACACAGAGATGAACAAAACAGACAGATTTTCTACCCTTAGAACTTAATTCCAGTAGAGGGAAGACAAATTTAAGTACAAGCACAGACATTTCACAGTGATGAAAGCAAATACCTGGGAAGGGCTCCTTTAGATAAACCAGTCAAGGACTGCCTCTTGGAGAAGGTGACATTTTATTTTTTTTTAAAGATTTATCTATGCATACAAGAACTGGGGTACAGGCCAGAAGTGAGGGGGTGAGAAGATTCACCAGAGACAGTGGGGAACAGAACAGGCAGATTGACTGACCTATACTGCTGAGCGGAGCAGTGGGGAGTCAGGAGAGGTCTGCTGAGCCATCTTGGTCACCTCCCCGACTGGGGATCGAACTCCTGCTGCAGTGGCTGTGGGTAGCTTCACAGTGCTGTGTCTTAACCCGTTGTGCCACCAGGGAGGCCCCTGGGAAGGCGACATTTTAGCTAAGATCCAAAGCAGGAGAGCCAGTCTCATGAAGAGCAGGGGGGAACATCTCCATTGGGAGGAAGGGTGATGGAATCTTGCTGTCGAAATTAGCCGCAGCTGCTAGTAAAGGGGGCCATGATGGAGGTGAAGGCTGGGGACACAAGCCAGCTCATTCAGGGCCCTGTGGCCCTGATTAAGGTTAAGGGGCCAGCGGCTACCCTCAGAGTTACTGACGAGTTTCCCATAAAGGGGCGCTATGGTTCCAGGTGCACAGAGCTAAGGAGAACTGGCTGCTGAGGGAGAAGAGAGTGGAGAAGAGAAAAAGGGTGTTGTGATGGTTAAAGTGGTCCAGTGAGCAGAGAGGAATGGCAGCTGGGGGTTTAGATTCAGGTGGGAACCGAGGGGATGGGGACAGGGAATTGCTTAGCATGCAAAGAATCAAGAAAACTGGAAGAATCTTGGCTCATAAAAGGAAAAGGGTCCTCACACCCATTGGTGGGGTACAGCTTTGTGTTATGTCCTTTCTCCTAGAACAGAAAACGAGGCTGGCCTCCTGTCTTTGTGGTTTACGCCGTCTTTCTGGGATGGGATGAGGGGGGCAACATGAATTTCCTGGGATATGGGGAGGAGTCTAGGGTTTCTGGTCTGGATAGACTTTCCCTGAAATTCCACAATGGTGACTAGGAATCGGGGCCTATCCAGTCGAGAGAGCAGTTCCACAAAATGAGCAGGTATAGCAAGTGAGGGTCAGAACAGAAGCCAGGGTTCAAACCCCAATGGTGCTGGTGCTGCTCCCTTGTCACTTAGAAGCAGCGACAAGATACTTCTGAGGAAGCATCTTAAAGCAGAGAAAAGGAATAGATTGTTTGCAAAAGAACAAACACTAGAGCAGCACCGGGTTTCTTACTAGCAACAAAGAAAGCTACAAAACAATCATCTGAAATGTTTAAAGTGAGGAGAGAAAATAACTGTTGTTCTAGAATTGTGTTATTAGGAAAATCTTCTTGCAAGAATGAGGGAAAGAAAAAAATCATTACAAATAAACAAAAATGAAGAGAGAGTATAACCATCAAGGAACCTGCACTAAAGAAACCTCTAACAGTTGTATTTCACGATGAAGAAAAATGATCCTCAAAGGATGTCAGAGACACAAAAAGGAACAGTGTGCAGGTAATGCTGTATGGAAGTCTAATATATCTGTATAAAATACCAACAGTAATCCAAGCATCTAAATGCCAGGTTTGGGACCTCCCCGGTGGTGCAGCAGGTTGAGCGCAGCGCGGTGAAGCTGTCCACAGCCTCTGGAGCGTGGGTTCGATTCCCGGCAAGCAATACAGATACCCACATGGTGCGGCAGACCTCTCCTGTCTCACCCACTGCTTCCCTCAGCAGTGTTTCCAGTCTGTCTGCCTGTTCTGCTCCCCGCTCTGTCTCTGGTGAATTTTCTCACCCTCTTGTGCCTCTGGCCTGTACCCCAGTTCTTGTATAAATAAAATAAATCTTAAAAAAAAAAAGACCTGTTTGTACTAACATATGAAAAGTGGGGGCCAGGGGTGGGGGGGAAGCAAGTTGCAGAAACTTATACATAACACGTTTATAATCCATGCATATATTCTGTGAGTCCATAAACAAAGCGTGGGATTGTGGAGCAATCAGGCAGGGGAATAGGGAAGAAGAAGCAAGACTTGGGGGTTAGTGGAACTTAGCCCTCATTGCTAACGTTAACCTATTATTTTGCAAAGAGAGTACAGTCATGTAGGTCCTCTACATATGAATTAATCTGAAGATATTTTACTACAATCAAAAAGAATACAAAGCTGCTAGTTCTTCAGGGGGCAGGGACTGTGTCTGACCACCGGGGGCATCACCAGCCTTAGCACCTGCCTCTGTGCTGGCAGTTTTTATCCAACTAGCGCGACAACAGAGAAGTTGTTTTCTTCCTCCAACTTTTCGTTATTGTCTACTTTGATAACATTTACAGCGGTGAAAATAAATTTTTCTTAAAATAATGAAACATGTCCTTATGATTTCCCATCCTCCTTCCTACCTCGCCCCAACCACCCAGGGAACCCACCGAAGTACAGGGTTGTGACTCACCACTCCGCAAGAGCTGCACATCTTTGGGGTGGATGAGTTTCATGTTTAGCCTCTTTACCGTGAACCCTAAATGTAAAAGGTATAAAGTCCTTGGCCTTCGGCTGCCCCCTTCCCCAGGTTCAGTAATGAACAAGGATATTTGGAAACCATTTCTAGCAAGGAATGTATCTAAGAACTGCCTTGGACCTGGGTAGGAGTGTCCCTTTCAAAGAACAACCATTACAAATATTGTTGAGGGCCTCCTTGGGGGTACAAGGGGTTAAGCACCACACTATAAAATAATCCGCAGCCTCTGTAGCACAAGTTCAATCCCCGGCCGGCCAGGGAGCAACCCACATGGCGCAGCAGACCTCTCCTGTCTCACCCACTGCTCCCCTCAGCAGTGTATTTCAATCCATCTGCCTATTCTAAAATATTTATTTTTATACAAGAACTGGGGTATAGGCCAGAGACTTGGGAGGGTGAGAGGATTCACCAGAGACAGAGCAGGGAGAAGAACAGGCAGACAACCAAAATACACTGCTGAGGGGAGCAGCGGGCGAGGCAGGAGACGTCTGCTGCTCCATGTGGGTTTCTCTCTGGCCAGCCGGGAATCGAACCCGCACTGTGGAGGCTGATGGACAGCTTCACAGAGCTGCGCTCAACCTGCTGTGCCATCAGGGAGGTCCCATCTGCCTATTCTGTTCCCCACTCTGTCTCTGGTGAATCCTCTTACCTGCATCTCTGGCCTGTACCCCAGCTCTTGTGTGCATAAATAAAGAAATCTTTAAAAACAGAAAAAAAAAAAAGAAAGTTGAAAAGCATGTGATCTATGTGGTTGTGATGCAGTAAGGCCAAAGAACCATACCAAATTTTGCAGTTTGAAAAAAATGCTATGCATGAGGGAGAAAATATGAGGGTGTGGGTGAGAGGGGACAGAGGAGATATATTCTTAGGGGAAAAACTCTATAATGTTAACAGTGGTTCATTCCAAATGAAATTGGAATTTCTGGCATTATTTCTTCTTTTTTTTTAGTCTGAATGTTTTAGGTTTTCTCACTCGAACATCTACTACTGTTGTAGTTTGAAACAGCATACTTTGAAAACTTCACGGGGTTCCAGAGGAAGCAGTAGTTTTTCCCCTCTCAAATGTCTCTGATTCTTCTCCCCACAAAGCAGAGCACAGACAGATGGGAGACCCCAGACATGCAGAGCTGGGGCAAAGGCATATAGCCCCCTCTTCCTCCCTGGGCCTGATCACAGTTAGTCCAGAGTTAGGAAAGGGAGTGAATTGCCTCATGGTACCATGATTCTGACTTAGCCCTTTAGCAGCTGGGCCAGGAGGGCCCCCCTGCTGGAGAGAGGGGCAGAGTCACCTTACCTATGAAGTTGAGTGCAGCTGCCCTTAGGAAGAACTGAGGGCTCTTCAGGAAGTCAAAGCTCTGGGACAGTAAGTCCCCCACGAGCTGCAATTTGCCTGTGCCCACCTGTGGGGTCAAACAGGGGTGGCGCTGACCGGGAGCTGGGGCTACTGGGCTCTTAGCTAAAGACCCTTTTTGCAGCCGTGGCCGCTCAGCCTGTCCATGGTCGAACCATGGCATCTTCAGCCAGCTTCAACCTGCACGCTGGGGCACACCAGCCAGCAGCAGTGCAGACTCAGGAGGAAGCCCGTAAAGGGCTTCGGCTGTGGAGCAGGTGACCCAGGTTGGAAGCTTAGAGCCTTCAGTTTGCTCGCGAGCTGAAGTTAAACCTGTGCAACCTCCCTCACAGAACTGTGAAGCTCCAATGGGATAATGGGTATAAAAGCATTTTGTCAACTGTAAAACGTTCTACCTGTGTCAGGCAATAAGCCTCACGATTCATCATATTAGAATTATTCCTGTTAGTCCCGAACCCACTTGCTTAGCCTTTAAATGTTTACTGTTGGACAAGGATTCCTAATCTTGCCCTGTGCTTGACTTGCAACGAGCCACAGACTAATTTCATGGCTTCTCACTGAAGCCCTGGCCCCTCCTGGGGACAGCTCTTCCTACAGTCCTCACAGGGGCAGGCCTCAGGCCATCCCCTGACCTTGCATGACCTCCCTGAGCCCTAAAGGCAGAGGCTGGATGCCAGGAGGATCAGACAGGGAGGCCCAGGGACTGGGACCTCCAATGTGGGCTCTGAGTTTACTGATGATAAGGAATGAGGATGGCAAAACAGAGGGCCTATATCTTCTCTCTGCCACCCCCTCGCCTGCCAGTGAGGCACTAGCAGGGACTTTGTGCCCTGGCTCCTCCAGGCTCACTCACCAGGTACTTGCATGTTTCTTCCAACACGTGGATGTGGTCGCTGAGGGTGGTGTGCCGGAAGGCCTCCGTGAGTGACGACCAGACAATCACCTTAGTCCACTCGGTCAGGGCTCCTCCACAGGCCTATGGGGTGGAGCAAAGGGAACCCCAAAGTCACAGTCCTAAACTCTGTAGAGTCAGGCCACAGGCTAAGTAGAAGACCACAAAGCTAGACCCAAGTGGTAGCTGGGGTTAGTAATCAGCATCGGGTGAAACATGGGACCCTGTTTAGGACAAGACATCAATACTTTAAGGAGCAGAACTCGATCAGGTAAGACAGATGGCACTGAAATGGAGGGGCGGAAATGCTCAGCCAATCCAGGTGATACTGAAGAGATGGATAAATAACGTATAGCTGTGGTAAGGCCAGGAGCCACAGGGAAGGGGCTAGGCTCTGGCAGAAAGAGGCTGAAACCAGCTGGGGCTGGCAGGACAGAGGCCACAGTACCTTAATCACCTCGATGTTGGTGTCCTGGATGCTGAGCAGCAGGGGGACGAGAAAGGTATAAATCTCTTTTTGGATGGAGGATCCAGGCTTAAATTTGCCCACTTGACGTAGCATGTGACCCAGAGCAGAGGTGGCTGCGATCCTCACCTCGTCCCTCTCCTGCCATGAAAAGCAAAATGGAGATTATGTGGCTGTGGTTTCCATCTGATCCTGCCTGGCCTGGCTTCCATCTGCCCACCTCTCATTCTGCGTGTCCAAAGTGCTCTGTTGCAATACGTTTACATAAAGGCAACACACTCAGTGTCACTGAGTTCAAAGCTGATGAGTCTGTTTGTTAAGGCACTGTGCTAGAGAATCCGAGATCACAGTTTCAGGTCTGCTATGGGCCCTATGTACAGCTGGCAACTTTATTCTCTCCTAAGGATATAGCTCAAGAATGCCAAATTTTAAAAAATGCATTGAATATCCTAGTGATAACTGTATAAGCCTATAAATGGATAATTTGATAAATGTATAAACCTATAAAAAGTAATAAATGTGCAACCTACATTTGTGTTGGCTATCAGTGATCACCAACAGCTCTGTATATCAAAACTCCGTATATTTTCAGGATTATACTATATATTAATGGTTTATTTATTATTGACTATATTAAATATATACTATATGTTAAATATATTATATATTAAATACATCGTGTTACATATTATATATTTAAGGATTGTATTAGATATTAATTGAACATATAATTGAGCAACAATTATGAGTTAGGTGCGCCTAGTGACTAAACAGAGATGGGTGAATGTTAGTATTTAATTAAAAGAACAAAGAAAAAAGGTATCACATGCAGATTAGCTAAAGATAAGTGACTGAGCATTGCCTCAACCGTCCTTTTATGCCCTGAATCCTTAAAGGATATCCAAAAAAAGAAATAGATTAAAAAACATATTTTTAGGGCCTCCCAGGTGGTGCAGGGATTAAAGACAATGCTATCAAGCTATCACCAGCCACTGCAGCACGAGTTTGATCCCCGGCGGAGCAACCCACGTGGCGCAGCAGACCTGTCTCTCCTGTCTTGCCCGCTGCTCCCCTCAGCAGTATATTTTAGTCAATCTGCCTGTTTTGCTCCCGACTCTGTCTCTAGGGAATCCTCTCAACCCCCACACCTTGTACCCCAGCACTTGTATGCATAAATAAATAAATCTTTTAAAAAAAATTCAATAGATGGGTAGAACAGCAGAATCACCACAGCAAAAGGATGAATTAGTAAAGCCCAGCAGTTCTTTCAAAGTGGACACAGAGATGAGAAAAAAAAAGAAACATGGAAACAGGAAATAAGAAACTAAAGAAACTCCAAAGACCCGAACAGAAAGAAAAGAAGACATACCAAACATAATAATAGACCATTTTACAGATGAGGAAAGCCAGAGCAGCGCCTGGGTATGTTCACAGGATGACAGGAGTAGAAAAGTAGAGCCGAGAACCCAGAGGTCAGGCCCCCGCAGCCTCAAGGTTCTTTGCCTTTGGCCAGGTGGCCACTGTGGGGATGATGACTGTTTACTATTTCTATTGAATCACTAACATCAACTTACTGCTCCAGAAAAAAAAGATAACTGGACAACCTTTCCACTAATCAACACCCTTCAATGCTAGATAAACTATATACAAAAATACTTTGAAATGTACAGCTGATCTTACGAGAAAATAAGGGAAATTCACAGACCAAAGGTGGAGAGGCTGCTGATACTCCAGCTACTGCGGTGAAGGGAGCCAAACCTCCCTGGCCTCCATCCCTGACGGGCCTGGTTGTCAGGTCTACTGCTCTGCCCAGCCTGCCTGCAAGGCCGCCAGAGCTTGGAAGCAGGCCCCGAACAGACAGAGACATCTAAGAGAGCCCTTTAGTTCGTCTCCATGAGCCAGAAGGAAACGCAAAGTCCTCAAAGAGACCGAGGAAGCCCTCTTTTCTTTTGCTTCCTCCTTTCTCTCAGGTCCCAGCCTCGCAGGCCTAGCAGCCCCCAAAGGGGTCTACAGAGGCCAAAACCCTTGGGAGAAGAAATTTATTTTGCTTTGGAAGGAGCTGTGGTGGGCAAACCCTCACTGTCTTATTTCCTCGTGCCGCTTGACCCAGGTGTGGGCCCAGTCACAGAAGTGCCTGGCACTGGGGAAAACTAAAGACCCAGCTCTGTAGGCAAAAGACTGGAGGGTGGGGGGAAGGGAGTCCCCAAGAGCTGTAACACCAAGGATGTCACCGAGAGGGAAGAGCTGAGGAAGGTAACTCTACAGAGTTGTTAAGAACTCCTGAACTTTCCCCAGTTTCCTCTCACTGTGTTGGTGTGTTTTCTCCAGTAGCTCCTTCAGGAAACTTTTGGTGAGAGAGCAAGTGGGTTAAGTGAGAAGCATGTGCCAGATCAGTGTGTAACAGGGGGCACAGCTGGGACAATCCCATGCCCTGCCCCTCAGTAGCGTCAGTCTTCCAGCACAGTCCCACAGTCCTGCCCCTGTGTCCTCTGTTCAGCTGCCAAGTGTCAGCCTCAGCCCCAGCCCATACTGTTTCCCACTGAGCCTAGGGACTTGGGGCCATACATCATTAATGAGTGGACGCAGTTGCTTGGAGATGCTGCAAAAGACGACCTTGGCCTCCATCCCCTTCCCGTGGCAGATGATGTTCCGCAAAGTCTTCACGGCCTGCACTGTCACTCGTACCTCACTCTTCAGGAAGTTTCGCAAGAATGGAGCCAGGCTTTGCAGAGACTCTGACTGTTTGGAAGAAGGCAGAAATGGGTCACCGCCTGGGGCTCGTGCAACCCTTGGGGTCGATGGTTTGAGAAAAGAAATGGTGCCTGAGAGAAACAGGCATGAGGAATCCCAGGGAGTGGAAGGCTGATGCTGGGGGGTTTAACACCTGACGGTTGTTCTGCGTAGGTCTACAAACTGGGCGTCACTTCCCAAGGATGAGGGGCTCAGGAATACATTGGGTTATAGAGACCCAGGGAGGTGAATTAAATGCTCAGGGACCAGACCGGACTCCTGTTGGCGTTCCCCCACTCACCTGCTTTGGGTGCAGTGCCAGGTTGCCGATTCCACGGAGGCCAATTTCTTTCATCGTAAGATTGGGCTCCTTGATCCACTTGACCAGATTGCCCAGAAATTCCTGCCCCAGAGTCTGAGCCACTGACCGGTGCCAGAGCAGCTGGGGGTGCAAAGACACAGCCATTATGAATGGAGGCGAGGTTGTGGGTTCCCAGTATCCCTCCAGCCCTCCCACTACCGCCCCCCAATCAGGTCAGGACTGTGTCCACTTGAGAGAAGTAGCTAATCTGTGCAAATGGGATACAGATTAATGGTAAAAAATAGGGGGGTGATGTTGATAAGGGCTCACTTTTGGGCCAGGTGCTGGGATCCACACATCACGCTAGTAGGACTAGAGTTGCTGGCCTCCTCCCAGGATTCCTGGCTCCTTTAACCAGGCCCCTGAAGAGCCAGGGAAGCAAACCCCAGTTTACAGGGCTTGGGTCTATTCTTCCCACTTTCTGCGGCAAGTTATTTAGATTTCTGCCCGGTGTTCCCCAACTACAGGGACTGAATGCCTGGGTTGTGGACCTTTTCTCAGGCTCTCACCTGTGCGTAGAAGGCTCTGGCTAGGATCTTCCAGTGATTATCTGGGTTGTACAGGAGGTTCCTGACGAGGTTCAGGATTCGGTGCAGAACGGCTGGCTCACAGCTTATCACAATACCACTGGGAGGGACACAGGAAGCCAGGAGTTGCCGCGGGGAGGTGGCAAGGGGCCAGTGTACATGGAACAGCAAAGACATGAGGGCTGAGGATCAGGAGACCAGGGGGCTGGGAGGTGGGGAGGGGTGGTTGAGGCTGGGAACTGGGATATCCAGGCCAGGGACAAGAGTGGCACCAGGAAAAATGGCCCCACCTGGTCAGGTCCATGATCCCAATGTGGTAAAGACTGGGGGAGGACAGAAGGTCCCAGGAGTGATGAAGGTCTGCATAGTTCACCACTCCATCATATGCAGCTGCGAGTATCACCAGCTTCACCACCTCCAGAGCACAACTGAAGGCCAGCGCCATTGGGTTTGCGGAAAGAAAGGGAGAAAAGGATGGACTCAGCATTAAGCCTAGTTTGCATCCCTGTCTGGCAGGCCAGGAGACAGGTCCCTGCTCTGGTAGCTGCATTCTGCTTCCTTGGGGGCAGAAATCCACCATCTGTCAAAGCCAACTCCAGGTGCCTGTCCCTTCACCTCCTCAACCCTCAACCCTCAACCAGTTGAGGCCTGAGAGTTACCACAGTGCCGGGTGTTCAGATCTGCTCTCCCAGGTCCAAGACGAAGGTCAGGACGGCTCTCTTTTCCCACACCCCCTCAATCAGAATGTCTCTGCTTGGAGGTTGTGGTTTTTTTTTTAAAGATTTATTATTTTATGCCTACAATTACTAGGGTTGCAGGCCGGAGGTCCAGGGGGTGAGAGGACTAACCAGAAACAGAGTGGGGAACAGAACAGGCAGAATGATTGAAATACACTGCTGAGGGGAGCAGCAGGCGAGTCAGGAGAGGTCTGCTGTGCCATGTGGGTAGCTCCCTAACTGGGGATCGAGCTCATGCTGCAGTGGCTGGTGACAGCTCGATAGTGCTGAGACTTTAACCCCTGTGCCACCAGGGAGGCCCTGCCTGGAGGTTTTATTTTATTTTTTAATTTTTATTCATGAAGTACCCTTGTTTTACGTCTGTTAGCATTTTGGCCACATAGCACATCTCCCCTTTGGTGTGGCCATCGTAGCTCACCCACCAGCGATGCTTCCTGGTTTTGTTCTCAATTTCACATAAGATTGCATTTGAATAGGATGTCCTGAGGCTTCCTAAAAAAGTATGACAGTCACTTATTGAGGAAGCTAATCCCCAATCTTATAGATGAGAAAACAGAATTCTAGCCGTGACTTATACAGGGTGACAGCTAGTGACAAAGCCAAGCCAGAGGTGAACCCGATTGGAATGACCACAACGGCCCAGTCTTGCCCTGCCTTTGACCATCTAATCGAATCTCTTGGTGCACAGAGTTATAAACAAGAATGTAAACTACTGAGGCCGTCAGGAGAGAATGGGTGAAAGGAAAAGATGAAGAGGAACTAGAAAACGTGTGGGGCTATTCTGGCACATGATGCCGTGGCACCCACACCCCACACCCATGTGCCATCTCCACGCCTCTTCATCAGCATCCCTCAGAGATCACGATGCAGTTGTCCAGGACTCTCTGGAATTGACTTGCTTTATTGTCCCCTAGCTCTGAGGTCAGGCTTACCTGGTGGGGTCCAAGGAGTTGCTCTTAGAGCCCAGGTACCCCTCCTTGTTGTACACCACCATCTTCTGGGCAGCATTTTGTTCAATCACCCAGTGGAGATGATACAGGACAGCCAGCAATAGGCGGGGGTAGAATTCCTGGATAACCTCCTGGCACAAGGACCCCGAAAACATCTCACACAAGGCACATGCCACCTAGAGGCGGGGTGGGGGTATGGTGAGAGCAAGAAAGCAGAATTGATCAGATTGGGGTGAAAAATATAAAGTGCACCCATGATCCGGCACAGAGTTCTGTCCTGCCCTTCCTATCACTGCCCAAAGGGCATAGCTCACTGTGACACAGGCTTACAGGATGCCCCCAAGACTGAAAATGAGGGCCCATATATATGCATCATCTGTGCTCTCTTTATGCCCCTGACATTAAAAACTAAAAGGAACAACTGACCCTAAATCTTCAGCAGATGATGATTTGGGGCATCCTTTTTGTGCATCCCAATTCTAGGCAACAAACCGCCTCCAGCCCCCTGCCCCACATTACACCCCAGGCCCTGGAAAAATGAGTGCCAGCACCAGCACACAGCCCCACGTCTGGTCTCTGGTCCATGAAGGGGAGTTCAAGTGCTCATGGAAGGCTGGATGTCAGGGATGACTGTGCTAGCCTTCCATTTTACTCCTCCCTGACGCTGTTCCCTCCCTGACGCAGAGCTTCAGCTCTGCCCCTCAGTCCAGCACAGTATGTTCCAGGCTCCCACTCCTCCCTGGTGCTGACCGCCACAGACTGGAAGGCCATCTCCAAGGTTTCCTCTTTGGGGTGCGGCTTTTCCAGAATGCTTATGAGCAGCAACAGGATGCTGATTGTGCTCTCCCGCAGGGTGCCAAATGCCTTCCACACATTCAGAATGGTTCTGCAGGACAGAGACAGCTGTAACATGGGCCCTGGTGACGGAACCCTACTCCTAGGGCTGGGCTGGTCTTGGGCCAGTTCTCGGGGTCTAGAGGAAAGGAGGCCAAAGAGGACTGGGCCAAAGAACACAGAGATGACATCTGATTGGTGTCACAGAGAAAGCATCTATGGGCAGTGACTTTTATGCTGGAGACAGGGGTTGGGAGGCATGCCCGGGGAGGTACCTATCCCAAGGCAGGGGCTTGTTGAGCAGCATGGGCACCACGGTGTGGGTGTTGCTGCCTGCCAACCAGCACATGGCCTGCAGGGTCTCCTCCTTCGTGTTGGGCTCCAGCTGTGAATTGAGCCGCTCAAGGATGCCCTCCACAACCTCCTCAATCTGCAGGGCAAGGCAGAAGAATCTCAGTGTTGCCTCATGGGCTGGCAGCATTGGAAGCGGCGTGGGGTGAAGGAAAGATTACTCAAGGTCCAAGTAGTGAGAGGCCTGGAGGGGCTACACCAAGGAGGGCTGGGATTCCGCACCTCAGGAATGCTTTCTTAGCTTCCATCCCTCCACCCCCCCATCTTCCAAGGCCCCAAATTCAAGGAACTTCTTTGTCATCCCACCAGTCACTCTTCAGTAGAGTTCTGGGTGCCAGGCAAGAGAGATCAGCAGGGGCCACAAAAGGAATCCCAGAAGTTGGTGCCAAAGTCGGCTACAACAAATGCTGCCCACAGACCAAAACTCCAGGGAGGGGCTCCCAGGTGGCTCAAGAACAGGAGACTCCCCCCTGCACCCCCAGGAAAGAAGGCAGAGCCTGGGAGACAAGGCATGGCTTCCTTTCCCAGAAGACATCAGCTTCCACCCAGGGACACTGGCACTGGGCATGGAGGGAGAGGCCTCTCGGCTCCTCTCACCTTCGTGACATAGGAGGCTTGGGGCGCCCGTTTCACTTAACACAAAAAGGACATGCTCAGAGACGTCCTCCCGCTTTGGGGGCCAAGGCCAGATATGTCATAGAAATGAGCAAAGATCTTGGGTGCAGATGTCAACGGAAGCGCCCGAGCCATGGGCGAGGGAGAGGCCCCTCAGAGAGCCCTCTGGGCCTCCCTTTCAAAGGTTTGTTTTTGATATTGTTGTTGTTTTAGTGAAATGAAAAATGTGGTTTTTATGCAAACTTTCCTGTTTTTATGCTAGCATGAAAGAAAACTCATTAAAAGATCAGTGTTAATCTATGAGCTTGCTCTTTGCAGTCCACAGCCTTAGCCGTCACAGAGGTCTGCGTCTCCTGCCACCCCAGGGAAGCAGATTCACCCAACGTGCCTCTGGCTACCAGGCCCTCCAGCTGCCTCCACCCTTGAACTAGGGAACTAGCCCTTCAAATAGGAGGGACTACATTTAGGAGCTCAGGGTTACAAACATCAGTGGGAACACGGAGAAAACCTAGTACAAGCATCCATCTCAGAGGGGAGTGGATTAAAGCCTCCTGGGGCAGGACTTGCTCCAGGTCCCTCAGCTGGTTAGAAACAGCCAGGAGAGCGTTCCAGGCTCCTGATGTGCAGGGCAGACCCTCCCCCGAAAGGTGCAGCAGCACTCACCTTTATCACGTCTTTGCCCCGCTCTTTCAGGACAGCGCTCATCAGCTGGGCTAGCGCCAGAGACACCTTGGCCCGGCTGTCGGTCAGGCCCTCTATGGCCGTCAGCACCAAGGTGGTGACCTGGATCTTAGTGAAGTACTCTGCAAATGCCTGCAACAGGGTGGGGTCCGACCAGGTGCATCTGGGTGTCCCTGCCTGAGGGAGCTAACCTTCCTGGCTCGGACAGGAGGAGGAGGCGCTTCTCTCAGAACATGAGATACTTTTGACCTCGGCCGTCCTGTCTGCCTAGTTCCCAAGGACGCTTTCACTAGAGACAGCCTGGGGACAGGAGGGGAAAACACTGATCTCAGATGCAACAGAGGGCTCAGAGGTCAGAGGCTGCAGCGGCAGAGCCCTGGGACAGAAGGGTCAGGGCTAAGATCCTAAATGCTGTCTCTTTGAGGCCTGGGTGGGAGCTGCACTAGTGGGAAGCCAGTGCTCCTGGTGAGACTGGTGATGAAGGAGGACCCCCAGGGGGCACACATGGCAGGGAATTTGAAGCTCACATCAAGTAATAGAATGGGAAGGGGCATGGGGTAAGAGAGCGCCCCCTCAAGTCCACAGCCTTATGTACCAGAGGCCGCTCTCCCGCTGTGCCTGACCCTGCTCCCTCACCTTGGCGATCTCAAAGGTGCTGTTATAGAACACGTGGGCACTATAGATGCCACTCTTGCTGTCCTCTTCCCACAAGCCCTCTTTCTTCCTTGCCATCTCTGAAAACAAGACACACAAGCCCATGCCTCAAACACACAGAGGCTTCCCAGGTTCCCCTCTACTCTCTGTCGGGGACCTGGCCTAGTCCCAGATACCATGTGCACTAAGTCAGCCTGGCAAGACGGCTGTCCTGGGGGCTGGGATAGAGAACAGACGCTGGGTGGGGAATGGTGCGAGCTCGTGGCAAAGGAACCCTGTCTCAGAGCAGAGACGGAGCCGGCCAGAGGGCTGCACTCAGCCAGGGAAGCCAGTGCTAAAGCACTGTTTCCTGGGCAGGTGTTCTGTCCCAAGTGGGCATCTGCAGAGGTTGGGGGCAGGTTCCTCAATGGAAGTCAAGTACTCAGGTAACTTCTTGTCACTTGCTTTTCTGGATTATTGTGGGGGTGGGGGGGTATGGCTGGGTCAAAGAGAGAGGCCCAAGCTGGGGGGTGGGTGACAAGTGAAGTTGTCCATACGCTTTTGCCGCAAGAGGATACAGTAGAGGTTGTAGACAGCCTGGGCGGACAGGAAGCAGATGTTGTCCACAGGGTCCTGACAGCGCATGGCCAGAAGCCTCACCAGGCGTCCCAGCCGGGTGAACTCGATTTTATTCTGAGAAGGGGAGTTGAAAGTCACAAGCTATCCCCTAAGCTGAGTTGTTTCAGGAAAACTATTAGGAGGAAGGGATGTGTGTGCCAGAGACACTCGAGGTGAGGTAGGTGAGGAAAACAGGAACTCAATGGCTAAGTTGTGACTATAAAGGACTTATAGTGTCATAGACTTGGAATGATCTTACATTATCCCCTTTGTGTCTTGACACCACACTCTTCCTCTAAGCTTAGTTCAAATGTCTCCTCTTTCAGGAAGCCCTCCCTGATTCCCTCTCTTGATAGCATTTGTATTTCAACCTTGTATTCCCACTACATTTGGTTGGTAATTCATGATCATCTTCTCTGGAAGTCTGTTCTATGCATTTCTCTCCCTCAATGGACTCTGAGATCTTTGAAGACAGGGGACTGTCAGGGTTGTCTACGTATGTATCCATGCATGTCACCTCTTATCCACTGTCACATCTAACATGCGGTCTGGCACAAGGGGAATATTCAGAATCTGCTTATTGAGATGAATAGAATCAATCTGAACTTACAGGAAGGAATTGTCAGAAGGGAGAAAGGGGGCTTCCCTGGTGGCTTGGTGTTGGGTCGGGAACGCGCCAGCACATTCCCAGGGACACGCTGAGGGATGAGTCGTGAAGCAGGTTAGCAAGGTAAGACTTTGCAGCTAAGTGGGCAGCCCTCTTCTTATTTATTAGGAGTAATAAACAAGCAAGATTGTTATTATTATGTGACAATGTCAGGAAGAGCAGGGTCCAGTGGAGACAAAGGATAATCAACTTTATGGGGAATTGGAGGGACATGTTGGCCACGTATACGGGGAGGACTTCTGGGCTACTTCCAGACCACCTCAGACCATGGCCACACAATTGATCAGTGGCTTCCTAGGCATCCCCAGCTGCCTTGGTGCTTTATCCAAATCCTATACACACACACACACACACACACACGTGTGCATAGAGAGGCCATACACACACAGGTACAGAGGCCCCAAGTAGTAGAGAAGCCACAGCTTGGGGGTTAAATCTCAGTGCTACCACTTTGACTCACCCCCCCCCCCGCACCCCCTACACGACAGCCTGAGTTCCATCCCCGACACGTGACCTAACCCACAAGGCGCAGCAGACCTCTCCTGTCTCGCCCGCTGCTCCCCTCAGCAGTGTATTTCAGTAGATCAGCCCATTCTGCTCCCCACACTGTCTCTGGGGAATCCGATCACCCCCACCACCTCTGGCCTACACCCCAGTTCTTCTATACAAAAATAAATAAATAAAATCTTTAAAGAATAAAGGGAGAAAGGAGAGAACAAGAAAAGATGCACAAGCGAAAACAGAGGACCGGGCCAGGGACTGAGACTAGGTAATACATATGATGAAGTTTGGGGAGGCAGGAATGAGGGTGACCAGAGGGGGCCCGAGGGCAGACTCCACTCACATCAAAGTCCTTCATCTTTGCAATGAAGCCCAGAATCCGGGCGGTGCACCACATGGCCCGCTCCCGCTCGCTGTCCTTCTGGGAATTCAGCCACGTGTCCAGAAGCTGGAGAGAGAAAGGGATGAAAGGAGGGGTCTCTGCAGTTGCACCCCTGGGATTAGGAGGGTAACCTTGACTCTTCTGCAAAGTATCGGGGCCAGACTTCTGAGAGCAGGAATTCTTTTACCTAGAGGCAGATTCTATGTGGGTCTGGCAGCAGAAACCTTCACTCCTCCAGCTCCCATTTTGCCTTGATGTGTGTGCTAGAAATCTCGGTATCTCCTTTCAGGTTTAAAGCAGTAGCTCTCAAGTTCTACTGACCCATTGGCTACAAGAGGCCAATAGATCCAGCATCCCCTATCATCTCCTCCCATTCCTCAGTAGGAAGAAGTTGGTGGCAACAAGGCAGAAACTGTGTTCTTAGAATCCAGGGTGTATTGTGTATCAATCAGCTTGAGAAATGAAATTGGAGATGATTCCTATGTGAAACGCAATGCATAGGAGTCTCACCAAGGGCCAAGTATGGGACCAAAATACCACTGATCCCAAGATCCAGCACCAACATGAAGGAACGCCCTCCCACTGACCTCCAAGCAGTGCTGGGTACGCGTGGGCATCTCAACAATCAGTGCCTCCGTCAGCCTTTGGAGAGCTTCCAGGGTCTTGCTGAGCATACTCTGAGGGGAGAGAGGGACTCAAGGATCAGCAGGCTCTCAGCCCCACCCCTCTCCTAACTTCCTTTCAGCGCACCCACTCTCCCAGGCCTTCCTGGAGAAATCCTGCCCCGCAAGTTCCAGTACATTTCAAGTGTCACTTTCCCACTGTGACCTTGAATGATACCTCTGTGGTTTTCACCAGGGCATGAATGTCTGCCTGACATGGTTTGTCCTAGTGGACTAGGAGTTCCCTGATGACTCAGCCACCCTCCACCCTCCATCACCACTCCCGAAGCTGAGCTCATTCTAGTCTCTACCAAGGGGGCAGCCAGACTGAAGCCTGGCTAGTGCCAGGGAGGGTAGAGGGCTGCTTGGCAGGGTGCAGGGGAGCTGATTCACAAAAGCTAGGATGGTGGATTTCTGCTTCTAACCTTTTAGTGAACTAAATGGCCCTCCCCGTAACCATATCAACCTGTAAAGAAAGCAGGTGGGCCTCCCCGGTAGCGCAGTGGTTGAGCGCTGGCTCGCGAAGCTGCCCGCAGCCTCTGCAGCGCCCCGGTTCGCTCCCCAGCTGCTCCCTGGCCACCGGAGGAGGGTCCCACATGGCGCGCAGACCTCTCCTGCCGCCTGCTGCCCCCCTCAGCAGTGTTCTTCGGTCCTTCTGCCTGCTCTGCTCCCCGCTCTGGCTCTGGTGAATCCTCTCACCCTCCCGCGCTTCTGACTGTACCCAGTGCTTGTATAAATAAATAAGTAAATCTTAAAAAAAAAAAAAGATAAAAAAAAAAAAGAAAGTTGGTGATCTGTCTAGAATGCTCTAGGGATCTGACTTGCTGCTGGGAGAAGCAAAGCAATCTTTGTGACCAACTTAGCTCAGCAGAAACTAACAAGGGAGGAAAGAGAAAGGCAACTTTCCCTGGAATAAAGTGCTCGCCATCAATCTACCTCTAGAGCAAAACGATCCTCACTAGGGCAACTGGCACCCAGACTGCTCCAAACATGGGGTAATCCTGTCAAAATACTCTTCTCATGTTAATCAGAACTATACTGAGAAAGGCTTGACCATAAAGAAAAACAAACCAATCCAGTAACCAGTAGAAAACTTGATTTTTTAAAATTCTTTTTAAAATTTTTGAAAATTCAGAGAACATGCAAAAGTTCCTAGGAATCCAGCATGGAAATGCAAATTAGAAAATCAGATCTCTCTTCCCTCCCTCCAGAACACACTGCAGGCAACAGATATCTTGCTCTGAGACTCCATGGCTTTATTTACCCGTCAGTGAAAGAGGCTTCAGTGAAATCACCTGTGAACCCGGCCATCAGGTTTCGATAGCACAGCCATTAAAAAGGAAGGGATGGCATGTCCAGCATTGGGCCAGAGTGTTTGCTAGTGGGCATCTAAGCACCCCCAAGGGGGAGGCGCACCTCAAGGCAAGCCCAGCAACCCCTTCCTCACGGGAGGGCCTCCTTCCCAGGCTGTTGTTTGTATTGAAGAAACGGGAAAATCCTTATGTAAAACCGCGAGACCTTTACTTCTCATTCTCTCGTCAATAAAAAGTAAAAACAAAGAGACATCGAGGACTCAATTACCACATTGGCCTGGGCCTCCTTGGTGCCAAACTCCTCCTTCGGCAAAACTTCAGCAGGGGGCAAGCAGAGCACACTCTTGAAGCAGGTTCGAAGTAGATCTGTTTTTTCTTCCACCTCCATGAAGGGCCTGAGCATGCTAAGATCCGGGCAAGCAGAAGTGTAAGAAGCAGTGGGAGGTGATCAGGAGGAACAGTTGAGGAAAGGCACAGAGAGAGAGGTAGTGGGGACAGAGTGACAGGTAGAAGCAAGATAGGATGAGCTAGGTCTCCCTGGTGGCACAGGGTTAAAGTCTCCTGCTACCAAGCTATCGCCAGCCGCTGCAGCACGAGTTCGATCCCCAGTCAGGGAGATACCCACATGGCACATCAGACCTCTCCTTTCTCGCCTGCTGCTCCCCTCAGCAGTGTATTTCAGTCAGTCTGCTTTGTTCTGCTCTCCACTCTGCCTCTGGTGAATCCTCTCACCCCCCACAGCACTGGTCTGTACCCCAGTTCTTGTGTGCATAAATAAATTAAATAAATCTTTACAATAGGTAAGATATGGAAACAACCCAAATGCACAAAAAAGGTAAATTCGTGCCATTCTCAGCAACATGGATGAAGCTAGAAGGGATTATGCTCAGTGAAATAAGCCAGAAGGAAAAAGAAAAATATCAGATGGTTTCACTTATGGCAGGAATATAGGGGAACCAAATAAGGGATCAGGAAAAAAAATAATAATAAAAAGAAAATTAACAGGTAATTATAAATCAGAGACATTCTGCAAGGGAGGGGGAGGTAGAGGAATCAAAACAGGACAGAGAAGAGCACAAGGGACTATGGTGATGGTTCACACATGAATGGGTGGTGGAAATTTTAAGGGGAAGACACCTGATAGGAGAAAGCGTACGAGCATACACTGCACAGAAATGAGCAATGATGTAAAATATATATATGTAAAATATATATATATATTCCTTTATATATATACAAAGGAAGAGACTAGAAGAAAAGATAACGGAGAGGGAAAGGAAACAGTAAGAGGAGGTAAATGAGTATGGACGATGGGAAGGAACAAAAGAGAGAGGGAGGAGGCACGGGGGAAAGGCGCTGGTATTTGGGGGAACATATATTCTTTGCTTCCCGGATGTGTTAAGGGAACGCGTGGCCAGTGGTAGAAGTGGAGGCGCCCAGCCAAGGACCGCCCTGGGCAGAGGGAGCCTGCAGGAAGCAACAGCACATGCTAGGGAGATGGGGTGGCAGCTCTTCCAGGAGCTTGGAAAATGTCACCCCAAAACTCCTGGCAAAGGAAGTGACAGACATCGCCAGTCTTGCCTGTGCTCTTGGGGATCCTATGCTAAAAGTCAAAGCAGAAAATAAGAGATGGGGTGTGAGTGGGGAAGGGGAGCTGAGAGCAGAGACGGGGGCACACCGTACCTGAAGTCAGTGATGATGCTCATGGCCTTCTGCCTGATGAGGCTGGAGAGGGTGGTCAGCGGTTCCTCCTTGATGAGCTCCTGGACCCCACCACCCAGCCCCAGAGGACCATGAGCATGTGTTCCTGGCCCTCCTCGCCTCCTCCATCCCCGCCTGGTCACAGGAAGGCGGGGCCTAACATCTCCAGAGGCTTCAAAGACTCTGAAGGAAGCACCTCTCCTTCCAAAAGGACTCACAGCCTTAAGGACAGGAAAGGAGGCACTAAGGTAGGAAAAGGACCCTGGGAGAGCAGGACTTCCATTCTCTGGGCCGAGCACGGTGGCTCCCATGAACCTCCCGCCCCCAACATTCCCACCCACGCCCCCTGAGCACCACTCACCAACATGAAGTCCACAATGTGTGATTTGTGGGGAAACTGGAACTGAAAGGCTATGGGGTGGGTGCTCAGGATGCTGGTCAGCATGGTCAGGGCGTCCAGGTAATCCTCCTTCAGCTTCTTATCCTGCACCCACCAGTGTGCTCAGGGGCTGGGCAGGCGTGGCCCGGGGCCCAGGGGCGGCATACACAAACCCGGGCGGGGAGCTCAGCCTTCTCTAACGTTCCCAAGGCTGAGGCTTGCATCTTCCCTCCAAGGGCAATTCAGGACAGGGAAGCTTGGGGCTTCCCTACAGGGAAGGGGTCCACCCCTTACCACACTTTCTGGAGCCCCCACCTCTTATAACTCTTACATTAGGTCAGGCCTAGCTTTCTGGTCTCTCCACGGCAAAAGTCTCCCAAAGGATGTCTAATTGGGTGGTAGATGATCACGGAGTGGATCTCTCTACCCTCAGGGTGCATGCTCAGGACAAACGGTGGAGGCCAGAAAATGGTTCAGGACTCCCTCTACCTCCCCTGAAAATGCCTTCCTAAGAGCATGTCAGGGATTTCAGGTATTGCTCAGCGCTTGGGGGAAGAGCGTTGGCCAAGAGCCCACAGGCAGGTTACAGAGTCGCCAGCAGGGAGGGAGACACTGTTCATCAGACCTAATAGGCTTGTGGGGGCCTCCCTGGTGGCACAAGAGGTTAAGACACAACCTATGAAGCTGTCCGCAGCCACTGCAGCACGAGTTCAATCCCCAGTCAGGGAGCAGCACGCAGGGCACAGCAGATCTCTCCTGTCTCGCCCGCTGCTCCCCTCAGCAGTGTGTTTCAGTCAGTCTGACTGTTCTGTTCGCCACTCTATCTGGTGAAATCTCTCACCACCCCCATACTTCTGGCCTGTACTCCAGTTCCTGCATGCATCAATAAATCAATCTTTTTAAATTTTTTCAAAAAATAAAAAGCCTGTGGTCTCCTACTCAGGCCAGTTTGAGTCTCAGAGTAGCAGAACGAAGCAAAAGGACAGAACTTCAGGAGAGGGAGTCCCTGCCATCGCCCGATCCCCAGAGTCCCCTTCTAGGCCAGTCCTCTTAGCCCCGGAAGGCACGAGAAGGCAGGGAGGGGCGTGGGAGCAGCAGAGCAGGCAGGACTCACCTTTTCCACAATGCAGTTGTAGTAGTGCTGCGGGATCAAAGCCAGGATGTTGTCCACATGGTAGTAGATGGCTGTCTTGCTCTCGCAGATGATCTTGCTGTAGCTTAAGTAGATGGTGCTACACACCAGCCCCCACTCCCTTTGCTGATGTTCCTGCAGGGGGGAAGGGGAAAGTTGCCTTCTCCTCACCTTATCCTCCTTATCTGATGAGGAAAGGGAGGTTCAGAAAGGAAAAGATTACCCAGAGGACTTGAAAGGGAAGATAAGGCCATGGAGTGGGGAGCAGCTGGAAAGGGAGAAATATGGTTGGGGGTAGGGGTGTTTGCAGGACCTGCAGCAGGAATTCCAGGGCAAGGGAAATGTGGGGGTGATGAAGCTGCCCACCATGGATCAGAGCCAAAGAGAAACTCTTTATAGGTGAGTCACAAGGCCTCAGAGAAGCGGGGAGACTGGGGTTATGAGGGTGTGTTAGAAGGCTTTGTGTGGGAGCTGGCGGATCCCCCGGGAACGCCATCACCTTCGGCATTAGGTTGATGTATGAGGTGTCCTTGTTGGTGAGCACAGCACAGTATACTTGCAGCTGGTCCAGAACCACCTTCAGGTGTCTCGTGGCCACGATACTGATTGCCATGGCAATGCCCTGTAAGAAGGACAGCCTCAACCACATGCTACAGCTCTGCTAGCCAGACATCAGCTGTGCTCCCCTGGACCAGGGGTTTAGAGAGAGGGAGGGAGGGAGAGAAAAGGGAAAGAAAAGAAATGGAAAGGAAATTTGTTTTCCCAGAATTGAACTGTAGAGGCAGAGAACCAACATTCTTCGAGAAGTAACCTAAGAAGTAAACTAGCGGCCTTCCTCGTGGTGCAAGGGGTTAAACGTCAGCACTATGAAGCTGTCCGCAGCCTCTGCAGCACGAGTTCGATCCCCAGCCAGGGAGGTGACCCACATGGTGCAGCAGACCTCTCCTGTCTTGCCCGCTGCTCCCCTCAGCAGTGTATTTCAGTGCATCTGCCTGTTCTGTTCCCCACTCTGTCTCTGGTGAATCCTCTCACCCCCACACCTCTGTCCTGTACCCTAGTTCTTGTATGCATGGATAAATAAATCTTAAAAAAAAGGAGTAAACTGGCCAAGATTATGGAACCGATTTGCACAATCTGGGGATTTCCAAACGCGACATCCCACAGTAGAAAATATGTATATGCATGAGGAACCCAGAGAAGGGTTGCTCTGAGGCGAGAGGAGGAGACGAACAAACCAAGCATGTTTTCACGCGGCCAGTCGGACAAGGGGTGGAGAGAGGGGAGATTTACAGATAGCACCAGCGTTTCTAGTCCAAGAGAACGGGAAACAGCAACTCTGAGTAAAGTGGGCAGGTGGAAAAGGTGACCTGTCTGGGGCTGGGGAAAGAGGAAGCAGTGAGTTCCTGGATGTGTCGTGTGTGACTCAGTGGCAGGACAACTAACTAGAAATGTCAGGTGCATCTGAAAGCTGGGGCGAAGTGTGGACCTGGGAATTGACAACCTGCTGGGAGCCCAGAGCACAGGAAACCTGGGGATGCTGCCTTTTCTGACAGGATCAGTCTTTTACCTTAAATCCCTCTGCCTCGTACAAGGCCTTTTGGACTGCAGTGTGAGCCAAGCCTCTTCTTGGGGCTGACCTAAGAAGGATAACTGGGCACAGAGCTAAAGGAATGCCCAGCACAGAGACACAGCGCCAGCTGTTTTCCAACCTGCTCATGGTGACAGATGCTCTGAGAATCTGGCAGGGCCGAGGTCTTGGGTCTTGGGGGTAGAGGGGAGGCCTGAGAGCGCTGGCACCAGCTCCACCAGCAACCAGCACTTCGAGGGCATCATGTGCCAGCCGTGGTTCTAAGTGCTTTCACGTTGTTAATCCTCAAACTCCTGTCCTGACACACAGCACTGATGTGGGGTTCCCGCCCACCCCAAGTGCAGATCTGGAGCTAATCATGAAGAAATAGGAGACAACCCCAGTAGGACTGGTGTGGAAAGTAAAAAAATGTCAAGTTCACGGAAGATAAAGGCTGAGCTAGTGCTCCAGATGAAAGACGAGTAAAGAGAAACGAGACAAGCAAAGTGCCGTGTGGTTCTGGACTGGATCCCAGAACAGAGAACAAAAATGTTCTTTTGCTCTAAAGAACATGACTGAGACCACCGAAAAATTTCAAATCAGGTGCACAAACTAGAGAATAGCACGGCAGCGACGTTAACTTCCTGATTCTGATCATGGTGCTGGTTCCATCCAGAGTATCTTTATTTTTAGATAATACACATCACGTGTATTTACACACATTTATACACATTTAGTGGTAAATGAAAATCATGAACTTTTCACAAAATGAGAGAGGGAATCGGGAAAGGTTAACATCTGGGAACCTGGGTAAAGAATAGACTCTACAGGTTCTCTTTTCAATAAATGTGAAATTATTTCAAAATGAAAAATAGTTTAGAAACTATCCTATGAGGGAGGAATCACAACCTCATTTTACAGAAGAAAACACGAGACACAGAGAGAGAGCGTCAGCATCTTGCCCAAGGAAACACAGTCAGCGAGGAGCAAAGCTGGGTTTCCAACCCAGTGTGCCAGGCCCAGGCTTTCGGCCACCCTGCCACCCTGCCTCTAAGAACAAAAGTGTCCCCCACCCGACACTGTCAAAAACACGAGACGGGGTATAAAACAATGGTATTTCAATAGCAATAGTTTCTTTTTCATGTCCCTCCCTTACCGGCGGCCTCCACCTCACCTCCCGCTCTGCCAAGTCCTCGTGGGTGGTCAGGACCAAGGCGGTGATCATCATCTGCACCAATGTCTTGTCACTTGAGGACCACAGGGTGAAGCCGAAGAATTTATACAGGAAAGTCTAGGGAGGTGGGAGCGAGGGGTCTTGCTTGGCTGGGCCTGAGGTTAGGAACAGCCACTGCGGGGCTGGCTTCGGAAATGCAGCCACACCCGCCCCCACCTCTCCTTCCTCCACCCTGTCCCTCTAGCTTTCCGGGGGCAACAAGATAAGGCCGTGACCCTACAGCTCAGGGACAGAGAGTTGCCTTTCTAATTTCTCGGCTTCTCAGGGCAGGGATGATCCTCTAGGAACTTTTCCTGATCCACATACTTCTCACTTCCAGCTAGGAATTAAAAACAGGTCCTAAAATTTGCAAAATTTTCAAATTGCAAATTTTGAGATTGCCTAATTGAAAAAGTACTTTTATATAACCTGGGTCTCTCCTGCCTCTGCATTTCAGTGGCCTTTATTCTTGCTTACTAAGCATTGCCCTCTCTGCCTTGAAACACCCATGTCTGCATTCTCCGCTCTCCTACGCCTCCAGGTGCCTGCATTTCCTGTATTGTCTTTCTGGAACAATCTTTCCCTGGCTCTTTAAAATGTCTTAGCTCCAAGATTCTCATCCTTGACATCGTGGCTAGTGAGCCTTCCCTGACCTCCGAGGTTTCTCTCATGCTCACTTTCCTATTTCTTTCCTTCAGAGCCTCATCTCCATGCATTTCCTGTGTGTGTGTCTCTGGCTAGTTCCTGACTTGCCCCAACCTCCCATCTCCAAGGAGATCAAACCCTGCTGACAGGGCATGACATGGGAGTGAGGCAAACAGGATACCCCTGCTGTTCCATGAAAGTCTCCTCTGGTTTCCACACACCTGCTAAAAGCCCCTCCCTATGGGCACCTTCTACCCCTCTAGCTGGGGAGGCGCCTGGCCCCAGATGACAAGAACCCTCCTTTCACTGGCTGCAGACCCTGCAAGAACAGTTCCCCTGCAGCTTCTCTGTGATCTCCTTGCCCAGAGTTACCTCCTTCTGTCTTCCCTCCCTGCTCCACACCAACCCTGGCAGCCGGGAGCCAGGGAGGCAGAGATCATCGGTGGGCAGTGGGGCGTGGGTCTGAAGGCCCCTCACATATATGCACTTGACTCCAGGCAGAACAGGCTCTGCAGTGCAACCGGCTCAGGTGGAGAAGCCTCTTCCTCCCCGATTCCGCTTCCTTCCTGGCTCTGCTCTATTTTGGCTTCTCTAGAGAATGTCCCACCTGCTCTATTCCTGGACAAGAACCCCCACCTCAGGCTCAGCTTCTGCAAAATCGGCTCTAAGGCACCAGCCTCCCCAGCCCGTAAAATCTTCCCGATGCTCTCACGCCTCAGCTTGCCTGGCACTGAGGCGTTTTCCAGACCCTGAATTTTCGCTGCTAAAACCAGGATGGTCCTGAGCCAACCTGGCTGGTGGGCAAACTCTGAGAAAGCCACTCGTCCAGCCCCACAGGACAAGTCGTTCCCCAACTCCAGTGCAGGTCTCCCCCCGTCCCCTAGCACTGGGATTCCGATGCCCATTTCCGTAATCAGTCTCGGGAATGAGACCTGGTCCCTGGGACAACTCCTCTCACTGCCCCAAACCAGTGCTGCTCAGTGCCAGGAAAACAGATGAGAAATCAAGAAACTTGTATTCAGGTCCCAGTTTTAATTTGCTTAAGACTCTAAAGACCTCTGGACTCTGTTCCTTTGTTCGTCTGATGGGATCACAAGTATAGGGCTTATTATTTAGCCTTTTGAGTGTCAGAGCCTCTTCACAGGTATCCTTGTTTGATCCTCAGCCAGTCTCCTGCAACCTGTAGGTCATTTTGCCACTTCCTAAGTGAGGTGACTGAAATCTCCTGGAGACCAAGACACTGGGCCGAGGTCACTCTGAAGGGCTCGCAGGCTCTAGGGCGTGGGCACACGGCAGGCCTGGAGCTCGCGAGGAAAGGAGCCTCATCTGTCTCGCTCAGCTCTGGGTCTCCAGCACCAAGCACAGTCCTCACCCATGGCCGCCCTCAAAGAGTCCTTGAATTTACTTGCTAAAATGTGACTCTAAGGTCACTAATTTCCCCTCTGCACCCAGTCCCAGCTTCACTCTGTTACAGAGTTGCTGGCAGGTTCTATTGTAATAACAGACAGCAAAGTTCTGCATCAAACCAAAACCACTGAGCAAATGTTGGACATTTGTGCTGTTCCTGGGTGACCACCTGTTCTATCCCCTTGTCAGGCCTCCACATCCCAGGACCCAAGAACACTGGCTCGCCCCCGCCCCGTGGCCTGCATGGCCTGTGCATGTCCATAGACCTTCCCTCCAGGCTCTTCCACCCTCAACATTCCTCCCCCTTGCAGACAACACACACACACACACACACACACACACACACACACACTTCTCATCAGCCTCGCTGAAATAATGAATCTTCTTCAAGATGACCCTGATGAGGTGCTCCAGCCACTTGTCATCATTGATGGCCACCAGGGTGCGACTTGAAAACTGAGAGGCAAGGAGAATAGGCCCACGGAGAACACTGGCTTTTCTGCCCCAGGGGAGTGGGGTCAAAAAGAAGCCAGGGACAGGTGATATGGCTGTAAACATGGTAAGAGGGTCTCCCCTGGTGGCACAGTGGTTGAGCGCTGAGCTGTGAAGCTGCCCAAAGCCTCTGCAGCGCTGGTTCGATCCCCAGCAACCAGGCGAGGGTCCCACATGGTGCACAGACCTCTCCTGTCTCGCCCACTGCTCCCCTCACAGTGTATTCCAGTCAGTCTGCCTGCTCTGTTCCCCACTCTGGCTCTGGTGAATCTTCTCACCCTCCTGCGCATCTGGCCTGTACCCCAATTCTTGTATAAATAAACAAATCTTTAAAAAACCAAAAAAATAAACAAACAAAAAACATAGAAAGAGCTCAAGAAATGGGGAGGTGTTGAAACACATGGAGGGAGGCTAGTTAGGACTAGAGAGTGACAGTGATGGGTCAGGTCAACCTCTCCAGTTTGCAAGGCCCTCTTCCACACTACCGTAAATCTTAGCAATAGAGGAGATATTCCCATTCACAGATGAAGAAGCTGAGACCAACAAAGCCTTGTCCATGGACACAATCCCCCTTAAGCCCCTCAGGTAGTGTCTTCAGAGTAGGTGGTCAAGGCATAGAATAGAGTCCAAAACTCTGATGCAGGACCAGGAGGCTAGGAGGCCACAGAAAGACGTTCCCACCAGCAGAAAAGGCTCTTGAGCAGGAGAGGATCATGGCCTCAATCTCCCGCAAGCCTGGGGCATCTTGAAGCAAGGAAAGAGGGCAAGTGTGGAGGGAGGTACCCCTTCAGGAGGGCTCACCTTGAGCAGCCATCTCTCCCACTTCTCCTGAATGAGGGTCTTCTCATTGTGCTCTAGAAAAGGGAAGACCGCGCAGACACACCAAACCAGAAGGAAAAAGAAACCAACATTTGAACACCATACCAGGAGCTGTGTGCCCATCAGCTCGTTTCATTCTCCAAGATAATAGTGACCCTACACGGTGGTGGCTCTCTCACTTTACAGAGGCCCCCGGAGATGGGTCACTTTCCCAAGGTCAAGCACACAGTCGGTCAGTGTCAGAGCAAGGATAGAAACCTGGGTCTGTCTGGCTCCAAGGGATCTTCCCTGATCCTCCACCCACAAGAAAGGGCAGGAGTTGATCTGGGGACTCTGGCACCCCAGAACTCTGGATTGAGAGCATCTGCTCAGTGCAGACATGGTTCAAAGAAGCTGACCCTTGAAAATGGCATCTGGAGGCTGGTCCCTCCTCTACCTTGGGTCTCTGGAGTCTGCCCCGCTGTCCCATCTCCCTCTCTTCCCCCTCCCAACCAACCCCTCACCCTCCAAGAACTGAACCATCCTGGGGATCTCTTTCATCCACAGCTGGCCCACATCTGAATTGATAACGGGGTGCAGAGAGGTGATAGGGTGCAGGGCATGTAGTAGCTTGAGGGAGCTTGCACCAATGTTCTTTTGTCTGTAGGGCCTTATGGAAAGCATCTGAGAAACAAGAGAAGCCAAGAGGATGCAGAGAAGGATTGAAAGGAAGAGAAGAAAATTAGAACAAAACCATAATGTGAGCTAAAGCTTAGACCCTCCCCACTGTTTTTTACCTGCTGAGCCCCTTACACATTCTCCAAGCTGCTTGTGAAATATCACCTCCTCAATGATGCTTTCCTTGACACCCATAGACTAAGTCAACCCATTGTTCTCTCAAGATCCCATTGTGCCACGTGTACTCCTCCATTAGAACAGTTATCACACTGAAATATGGATGCTATTCTAACACTCCCCCCACTAATCCTGTGAACACCTCAATAACAGGTCTGTACTAAGTGTTTTTAACACCGAGCACATAATAGAGAAATAGACAAATAGAGAAAATCAAAATATACTTGCCAAGAAAATGAGATGCAGGGACTTGCCCAAGGTCAACAGAAAGAAGCTCCCAATAAGGCCACAAAGGAGCCAGGTCAAGCCCTCCCCATGCTCACGCCTCCCCCATCCCCAGGCCCCACCAGTGTGCTGCCAGTTCCCTCCTCCAAGCTCTGTGGCATGGATTCCCTTTCTCTGGAGCCCCCTGGATCCTTGGCCCTACCTCCTTATACCACAGCCAGCGTAGTGCCTAGAACAGAGCACGACTCGAGGGTTTGCGGAATGCTGGTTGCATGGAGGGATGGACGCATGGACGGAGGGAGAGAGATGTACTATTCATTCCAGCGTCACTTACCACGAGGCAGGACAGGAGGTTCTGTGGGGTTACAAACTGGGTGGCTAAGAGAAAGAGAGGGTAACGTCAAAGGACACGGTTTGGGTCAGTTTTAGCACAAACAGCCCTCCAGCCCCCCCACGGCAGCCCCCAGCAGTACTTAGAGGAGGAGGAGAGCAAAGTGGAGAGGAGAAGAGGCGCCGACATTTAGGGCTTGTGACGTTTTGACTTAAGGCCTGAGCAGACATCCTCACCCCAACCCTAGCAGTCATGGATGGGGTGAGTAGAGAGTGGGGCCCAGAGTCGGAGCTTGGGAAGAACCAAGAGACAGGCTTGTTTTAGCTTTCCAGTTCATATCACCGTGTTTACATCTTGGCTAGTGTCTTAAAGAAAGACGACAGGCAAGAAGGAATTGTGTTTGGAATGTCCCTCTTCCAAAGGCGTCTCCATGTCATCTGTGGGATGCTGCCTCCCCATCCTGGCCTCGGTTCTGGTGGCACCCCCACGCACCCCAGATGTGCACCTTCTCCTCTGTCCCAGCCCTGCAGAGCCTCCGCCTGCCTCCTAGCCTGGCACCCCTCCTACCGCAGCCTGCATGCTCACAGCCCACCCATCCCCGTGTGCCCCACCCTTCTACTTACGTGTGAGATGAAAGCCGCTGAGGTAGGGGGTCTTGCCCTGGGACTGGGCCTTCAGAGCCATTTCCAAGACTGTCTCACACAGTGGCACAAAGGCCAAGACACTGCTGGGCTCACACATTACGGTGACCAGTCTTGGCAAGGAGACCTGGCAGGGATGTGCAAGGGTTTCATTGGCAAGCCTAGATAAGCCCGGGCCCACGTTCTCCAACCCACAACCTTGTCTTCTTTCCTGCAAGGGCATTTGAGGCCTGCAGGCCACAGACAGACAGACAGACACACCACATCCACCACCACCACCACCAGCACCACCACTCTGTCGTGGTAAACTACAAACAAGGTCCTGATAAAAATCACAGCCAGAAGGACTTGCTTAGAGAGAGGGTTTCCTGAAATTTGGAATTCACAGGGGAACATCCCAGGACAGAAGCCCTGGGAAGGGTCAGGAGGCCCGGCCTGCTGGGAGGAGAGCAGCTGTGACTCTAGGACGGAGAGGGAATCCCAGCTGTGCTCCTCCCTTAAGCCCTTACCTAGACTCTGACCCACACATCAGCTCCTCCAGCCTTCAAGAACCCTCAGAGGCTCCTGTGGCAGGCGGGATGCACGTTCCCCCCCTCGCGGACAGATGGGAAAACTGCAGCCCAGACAGCAATTGACACATTTTAGAGCTATAAAGGGGATGAGAAGACTCCAGAGCAGTCTCCAGCCTCCCCGGGAGAGGCCCTCTCCTGGCCCTGAGACACCCTCCAGAGGAGCCTGGGCACGCGAGTGGGCATTTCTGGAGTGGGGGAGGGGGAGAAGAGAAAGCTGAAGAGGCTGGATGCAGGAGGGGTAACTAGGGGCTGGGGGGTTACGAGGAGCAAGGGCGGAGGAAATGGACAGCCTCTTTGCCCCTGGCTGCTTGTACCATCTGGAGAATCTTTGAACACAGTATTCGGATGTCCACTTCATTCTGGAATAAGAAGAGGTGTTAATTCTGAAACCAGTGCCCGCTGAGTCTCCTGGTTCAGACCTCCCAGGCTCACTGCTCAGGGGAGGCCAAAGTCCCTCCCCACCCACGCACCAGCCATACCCTCCTCTTGTTTTCCTTCTGCTGCCTACTCTGCCTTCTTCTCACTCCTCCCCTAAGCCTCCCCCCACCTCAAGACCCACTCTGTTGCCCCCCACCCTTCCACCTGCACCCATGCTCACAAAGGAGTCCGATACGCTGAGCTTCACCATGTAGTCGAGGATGGCATTGCTCTGGGGCAGGGCCAGGTATTTGTGCTGCCCCAGCATCTCGATGAAGCGCAGCACATCCTTCCTCACCTGTGGGGTCACAGATCAGGGTGAGAGGGAGCACGGCAGGGACCTCTAGGGTGACCGCTGAGGCTCCAAGTAAGGATGCAGAGTGCAGAGTTGGGTGGGTTGTCTTCAGGGGACTCAGATCTTGGGTCCCCAAGTCCAAGTGTGACTCTTCAGCAGGGTCAGGGTGCTGACAAATCACCGGTGGTTGAACCTGACCACTCTCTATGCTGCCCCAGAGTCCAACCCATTTTGGCCCCTGCCAACCTCCTGGAGAAGCAGAAGTGTTTACTTGTCCACACTTTACATCAAGAGGCAGGACTTTGGCGGGAGAGTTGGGCGGTGGGATCTGAGCTCTGGAAAGGTCTCATGTTCTGGCCTTCGTAGGGAAAGCCAGGAACAAATTCCACAAGTTCTGAGGGTCCATCCTTCAAGATCCCTATTCTCCATTATCTTCTGAAGACTGAGGACTTTGCTTTTAGGGATGATGTATCATCTGCCACTTGACACCTACAGCACCTGCCCCTCATTCTTGCATAACCTGGAGCTGGCGGCTGACACTGCTGCCTGCAGCCCCAGCAGCAGAGCTTGGTAGAAAGGCGGCTTCTTGAGCCTCGTGCCAGACACGCTTGAGGTCTTCTCTGTAATTTGAACTCTCGGGAGACAGAACTAGTATCCTCTAGAACACCACATTCCCTAGGACACCCCAGCACTTCCTACAGAAAAACCTCAGAAAATAGGTAGAAACCACCTGTCGGCTCCTCAAACCCTCCTCAGGCTTTGAAGAATCCCAATGTAATCCACAGGCAGCAGCCTGGGTCCAGTTGGGGTGCCTCACTTCTCATCCCCCAACTGCCTTCCCCTCTGTATTTTACACGATCTTGAGGTGTCAAGTAAGCAAGCCCCTTCCCAGCCCAGGCGTCCAGTCTCCCTGCTCACGGGTTTGAGATCCGTCTGGACCATGATAATGGTGGAGTGCAGGATTTCACTCTTCCTCTTCTCAGACTGGGTCACTAGAGAAAAGACATGTGTGCAGGTGCGTCAGTGCCCTCCTCCTGTCTCTGCTGCTTTGAGAGTGAAATAGAATGGGGGTGAGGTAGGGGAGGTTGCAGTCCCTGGTTCAGAGGCCAGGGCACCCCAAAGCTTAATCCACCATCCTTCTTCTTCAGACCAGACTAAATACTGACCTAAAACAATATTTTCATCCAGCTGGCACTGAGCCCACCCATGCAAAGCCATCTCTCCAGCCAAGCTGCTCTCCCCACGTCTGCACACCTCCCCCATGAGAACTTCCACTGCCATCCTGCTTCACTGTGAAGCCCTTTTGTAACCTGCCACTTGGAGAGCTCCTTCCTGCTCTGGGCACGTCTGCACAGAGCCCACTGTCTCCCGACTGTCCCCTGCTCTGCATTTCTGCTGCACGTGGTCACGCGTGCCTCCAAGCACCCGACTCTGCGGTCTTGTGTCATTTTGTTGGGTGCACCTCAATTCTTCCCTCAACAGTGAGTCCCTGAGACAAAGATTGCGTCTCTTTGTAGTGTGTTTTCAGTGCCTGGCTCTGTGCAAGGCACACAGCAAAGGTTTAACGCACACTTGTTGAAGTTGAAGCCCGTTTGCAGAATGTGATCCTAGACTGACCTCCATAAAACCAATGGCATGGTTGACGCAGGTGGAAATGCCTCATTTAATATTTTCTTAAAAAAAGCCCTGGGGCCTCCCTGGTGGTACAGGCGTTTGAGTGCCTCACTGTGAAACAGTCAGCAGCCTTTGCAGCATGGGTTCGATCCCAGCCTGCCGGCAAGATACCCACATGGCGCAGCAGACTCTCCTGACTCGCCCTCTGCTCCCCTCAGCAGTGTATTTCGTCAGTCTGCCTGTTTTGTTGCCCACTCTGTCTCTGGTGAATCCTGTCACCCTCCAGCACATCTAGCCATCTGGCCTCTATCTTGGTTCTTGTATACGTAAATAAATATTTAAAAAACAAAACAACCCTGGGGTCTCCCTGCTGGTGCAAGGGATTAAGCACAGCGCTGTGAAGCATCCACAGCCTCTGCAGCATGCGTTTGATCCCTGGCTAGCGAGGGAACTGCCCACTTGGTGCAGCAGATCTCTGCTGTCTTCCTCGCTGCTCCCCTCAGCAGAGTATTTCAGTCAGTCTGCCTGTTCTGTTCCCTGCTCTGTCTCTGGTGAGTCCTCTCACACAGCTCTGGCCTGTACCCCAGTTCTTGTATGCATAAATACATAAATCTTTTTTAAAAATTGATATAAAAAAACCCTGAGGGCAGGCTTTAGTTTCACCTCCACTTTTCAGATGATGGACTAGAGGCATGGAATAAAAGTAAGCTGCCCGGGTGTGTATTCCGACTGGTGTCAACCCATCACATTCCCAGTTTCGACAGTGCTTTTAACGACTCTAAGGGACTGTCGCTCAGAGAAAGGAGATGAATTGGAAAGAAGACCCTCCAGGCCAGGTCCAATGCACACTCACCCTCCTGGAACAAATCCATGAAGACTTGGAGAGCGGATGCCACCATGTCCGGGTCCCTGGTTTCCATGGTCTTGCGTAACAAGAACACCACCTGGTCACTGTACAGCTTGGCTGTCAGAGGGTGCGAGTGCAAGGCAGTCAAGGGCATGTTTCCACGGCAGGGGGTAAGTAGAAGGAACTCATGCTCAGAGCAAACCACTGATGCAGGGAACTGGAGAAACTGGGGTCCATCAGGTGAGTGAAATGAAGCAGGAGGAAAGAGAGCCGGTGTCTGCCTGGCATTTGCTCTGTGCCAGGCCTGGGGCACAGGCTTCGCCTGGCGGGAACTTGGCCTCTGGCGCTCCCACAGTTCCAGCACTGCGTTCGTGAGCATCAAAGCCATAACTCCAGGGTCGGCTTTTGAGCTGGGGCTCATGAAAGGACTCCACTCCGAGGTGAAGGGGAGGGAGCAAAGGAGGTAGGGGCAGAGCAGGCTTGTGCTTTTGGGGACTCATTTCATTTCAGGCAGTCTCCCAGGGCTGACTTGGCATCTCTGCCAGCGGGACGGAAGCCCCACCCCAGGGCCAGGAGGGGTCCTGAGCACCCGCCACCCACCCGCATGCCTGGCCAGGGGAACAGCACTCACTTAGGACACTGAAAGTCCTCAGGACGAGGTGGCTGTTCTGCACAGAGTGGGGGTCTGCGGTGTTGACCTTTACGGTCAGCTGTGGGGAGAACAAAGCCATGAGACCTGAGGGCACCCAAATCAGCGGCCCTGATGCAGGGGGGGAAACCGGGGCCTGTGGCCGCGACCAGTGTGGTGCTTGACCATCAGGAGAGCAGGAAAATAGCACCCAGGACGCCACAGTCCCAGCTCCCAGAGGACAGGAGACAAGGGCCACAAACTAAATACACGGAAGGTAACACCTTTAGGCGAATAATGTTCGATTGTCCTATTCTTACTCATGCGCCCACTCCAGTTTATGCCTCTGAGAGTTGGGGTACAACCAGAGGCTCTGACATTTCCCACAGGTGGGATGGAGTAGGTCGAACCTCCTGCATTTTCCCAGAGTTTGGGGGGGGCAGCAAGGCCTGTCTCCTCCAAGAAACCTACGGAAGGGGTCCTGCTCAGCTCCTAGAGAACACCCCACTCCTGCTCAGAATCCAGGCGCCGCCTATTGCGGGGGAGCCCGAGAGGGGTGGCCCAGGTCGCCACCCCAAAGACTCCCGAGCCGCGTGGAGGACGGCCCCAGGGCTGGGGCCCATCTCCGAGCAGAGAGCAAGCCCGGGGCTCTGCTCCGCTCTCACCAGCCTCAACAGCATGGCCGTCAAGTTCTCCAGCTGGGACTCCAAGTTCACCCCTCCACAGCCGCTGAGAGCCAGAGAGTCCACGAGCTGGCAGACACACTGCGTGGGAAAAGGAGGGTGTCAGCACACGCCGGCCGGGCCCTGGCGGCCTCCGGGAAGCCCTCTCTGCTCACCTCCGTGAGGACTTCCCCAGCCAGCGGCGTGTCCCACTGTCCTCGGACCCTTGCAAGGAAGTCCCAGGGTCTCGTTCCTCACAGCTGAGTGCAGCGATGGTCTGCCCGCCCCACGGGGAGCACCGGGCTCAGCTCATCTCTTTCCTCCCCCTGAGGGATCACGGCTCATTGCTGCCTGATGCCCAAGGTCTCGAGAACCATGATTTCATACACTTTGTTTTTTTCTTTTTTTAAAGACTTATTTATTTATGCATACAAACCTGGGGTACAGAGGTGCTGGGGGGTGAGAGGATTCACCAGAGGCAGAGTGGGGAGCAGAACAGGCAGATGGACTGAAATACACCGCTGAGGGGAGCAGTGGGCGAGACAGGAGAGGTCTGCTGCACCATGTGGGTTGCTCCCTGGCCGGGGATTGAACTCATGCTGCAGAGGCTGCGGACAGCTTCATAGGTTGCATCTTAACCCCTTGTGCCACCAGGGAGGCCCTATTTCACACACTTTGTGGTGCTTTTTGTTGTTTCAAGCAAGATGGTAAATTTGGCCCCACTTACTCTTTCTGCCATAAGCAGAAATCCCTCTGCTAGATTTTCAATATTTAATATTTCCTGCTCTTTGGTCTGGCTGGTGGAGCCCCAAATGTGCCCACCTTTCTCAGCTAGAGCTGGTTAATGCTGGCTGATCCAAAAAAATATTCTATGGATGGATAAATACATACATCACGTGCAGTAAAAGAAGAGGAGGGAGAGGAAGAAAGATCGTTGAGAAAACATTTCTGATGTTAGTCGAGATGGGATAGATCTTGACCTGACCTCACCTGCAGACCAGAAGCACTGAGGATGCAAGTAACATCCTCCAACCAACTAAGTATCCACACAGAGCAAACCTCAGTTCCAAATGCATATAGACCTTACTCTACAGCAACATGCAGACATGTGGCAGGAGGACAAATACATGAGAGACAGTGGTCAGTGCGCTCATGGAGAAAATGCCGAGCACATGTGTGGAAGGGCAGCACTTCACATCCCCAGGAAAGGGCCTCTGAAGTGGTGGTGCAATGGTGGCAGTGAACTCTGGTCCCTGGAAACTTGAGGCTAATGGGTGTTCCACTCCCCCAAAAAAATTCCTCCTTTTGGAAATTCGTAAACGCACATGAGCATATTCAGCAGTTATGAAAAATGTGCCCCTTAGTGCCTACTTTGAGGGGTATAACAGACCAACAAATCCAACTGCCATGCTCAAAAATCCATTCTATGTTACAACTAAACCCAGATTCCCACAGATTTCTCCCAGCCACAGCCTAAGGATGGCAGGTCCAAGAAGACACAGCCATTGTGGCAAGACATGGTGCTTTTCTGATGGGAGATTTTGGCCCAGTGACTCCCTGATGGTTTTGCTGAAATGCTCTCAAAACAACACTTCAGGGCCCTCCTTGGTGGCTCAAGGGATTAAGCCTCAGCACTGTGAAGTTATCCGCAGCCTCCGCAGCACGAGTTCGATTCCCTACAAGGAAGGTGACCCACATGGCGCAGCAGACCTCTCCTGACGTGCCCGCTGGTCCCCTCAGCCGTGTATTTCAGTCAGTCTGCCTCTCCTTTTCCCCATTCTGTCTGTGGTGACTCCTCTCACCCCCACCCCCCACACCTCTGGCCTATACCCCAGCACTTGTATGCATAAATGAATAAACCTTTAAAAAATAACAAAATAAAAACTACACTTAAATACAAGATTTTCCTCTCTTCTTCCCATCCTTCCTTCCTTCCTTCCACACCCTTTCCTTATCGTCAGATGACATCACAATCTGATGTTCTCCCAGCTTTCTCCAGATCCTTCTTGGCTTGCCCTCACAAGCCTTCCTCTAAGGTAACTTTCAGACCTCTAATTCCACGTTGACATCTGCTTTTTAGAGGACCAGCCAACTTGCATAGTGAAAGCTTTGAGTTCTAGTTAAGAAATTTGTTTCAAGGCCTCCCCTGGCGGCACAGCAGTTGAGGGCTGGGCTGCGAACCTCTGCAGCACAGGTTCGATCCCCCACCGCCCATGAGGGTCCCACATGGTGTGCTGACTTCTCCTGCCACGCCCCGCTGTTCCCCTCAGCAGTGTGTTTCGTCAGTCTGCCTGTACTGTTCCCTGCTCTGGCTCTGTTCTGGTGAATTCTCTCACCCTCCCGCACTTCTGACTGTACCCAGTGCTTGTATAAATAAATAAATTAAATCTTTAAAAAAAAAAAGAAATTTGTTTCATTTTAACTCAGTGTTTCCCACCCATTTGACATAATGGCACTTCTTTTCATTGGGCTCCACATTAAAAGTTGGAGAGAACTTGGTTTCAGACATACCCTTGAAATGCAAGGAAAACTGAAAAACAATCAGAAAACTTAGACTCTGAGTCTTCCACTCATAAAAACATCTAATATTGGTGTCACATTTCTATGTTACAATTCTGAGATGATCCCCTTGTGTGCATACACCTTCTCTCGGTTATTCAATCAAGCACTGGTGTAGGGGTAGATGTGAAGGCATTTTGCAGCTATACTTAAGGCCCCAAATCAGTTGAGCTTAAAATGGGGAGATTCCCCAGGTGGGCTTCATCCAGTCTCATGAACCTGATAATCTAGGTCTAAGGTCAGATACAAAGAAATCAGAGAAAAGCAAAGCAGCTAATGGGTGTGACTGAGTTCCCATAGAATATTATTCATCAAACAAATTGAAGGCCGGATTTGGCCTATAGGTCATCCTTTGCCAAATGCAACACGAAGTATTCATAACAATAAATACGGACCGCAACTGTGGACTAAAGTTTCCACAGTTAAATGTCCAACTGTGGACTAAAAACAGAGAAAATTCTACATTCTACTAGAACCATAGCTTCCTCTGTGACCATACTGCAGAGTCATCTCAGAGGTTGGAGTCAGCAAAACAATAACATCTGTTTGCTGTGAGGAAAGCCTGAGGCGAGAAGAAAATTCCACAGACCAAGTCCACCCATCATGCTTACTAGTTGCTGAAAGAAAGAGCCTGAGATAATGGCCTAACTGCACCTTACTGCATCTATAGGGGCATGTTCTAGAATAAGAAAGTCAGCTATCCATCTTCCACACAGACAGCTCTAAGTTGGCTTTGTAAGATAAAGAGATCACTTTGCAAAAAAATAAAGAAATAAAAAAAATAATAAAGAGGGTCCTCCCTGGTGGCACGAGGGGTTAAGACACAGCACTGTGAAGCTATCTGCAGCCTCTGCAGCACGAGTTCCATCCCCGGCCCACCAGGCAGCTACCCACATGGCGCAGCAAAACTCTCCTATCTTGCCCGCTGGTCAGATCTGCTGTTCTGCTCCCTATTCTCTCTGGTGAATCCTCACACACCCCAGTTATTGTATGATTAGATAAATAAATCTATAAAAAAAGGAGAGAGGTCACTTTGCACTAAAAAAGGACTTATTCTTGATCATTAGCTAAGAAAATTAGAACCAAATTATACTGAAAATGATTGAAATTAAGTAGGTGTATTTTTTTCTTTGGGAAACTGAGAGTAAACCATAGAGACATATTCTCATAGACTCCCAGGCCTCGGTCCTCAGTTTGGCTCTGAATAGTCTCCTTAATAGACTGCTCTTTTGATGAACCTTTGAATTCACTTCACAGCAATGATGATTTCAGGCAACAGTCTCACCCCCACCCTACTGACCTGGGAGATGTAGAAAGGTGTCACATGGGTGAATAACATCATCAGCCAGCGGACTAACTGGTTCACTTGGTTCTTGAGTTTGGATGGTGCAATGAGGAAGAAGAGGTGGCCGGCAATGACCAGAGCTTGCTCTGCCTCCTGTGCCCAGGGAGACACAACGCACAGGCCTCAGCTCGGGGAGGAAGGCGGGACAAGCCCTCAGGCTTGGTCTTAGCTGTCTTGGTATTCCGAGGGCCTAGCACACACTTGGCATTCAGGGTCATCAGGAAATTACTTGCATAACATAACTGAATGGACAGTGGAGTTTTTTCTGACTGTGCCCTCTCTGGACAATGGGAACAGGAGCCTGAGGAGAGTCACTCGCCTTTCCAAGAAAAGTCTGGAGAATTTATGTTCCCTGGGCACAAGATTCACTTCTTCAGGGCCTCCCTGGTGGTGCAAGGGGTTAAGATGCAACAATGAAGCTATCCACTATGCTGCAGTCACTGCAGCATGAGTTTGATCCTCAGCCAGGGAGCTGACCCACATGGCACAGCAGACCTCTCCTGTCTCGCCCGCTGCTCCCCTCAGCAGTGTGTTTCAGTAGATCCACCTGTTCTGTTCCCCACTCTGTCTCTGGTGAGTCCTCTCAGCCCCGCATCTCTAGCCTGTACCCCAGCTCTTGTATATGTAAATAAATAAATCTTTAAAAAAAATCACTCTTCAGCCCTCACTGACCCCTGCTAGCTCCCACTCCCTCCTTTACCTTGGTCTTCATGGGCCAACGGTTCAAGAGCACCCGGAGAGTATAGTAGGCCTTGATGGACACTGCCTCCTGTGTGATGTCCATCACTTCATCAGCGTGGGCGCCCAGATCCAGATGCTTTCGGACATTGACGACCAATCCACTGAGTGCTGTGTGGGAAGCAGGGAGTTGGCTGCTCAGCATCCTTCTTTTGCCACAAAGGGCAACATACATACATGTGGGCATAGTCTTCTCATCCCAACACTAAAAGGGCCTCTGGCATTCTGTTCCGGGAAAGACCAACCCACTCACCACCACTACCACTACGGTTATCTTGCCTTCCAACTGCAGCTGATCCCCCCTGCAGGGGTGGGAAAAGTGATTGAGACTGTCAACCCCACAGTACCCCCATCGAGCTTGGTCCTTGCCCCAAACCAACCATCCTCACGAAAGGTCAGATGGAGAAAAGGATCTGTTCGCACCTGGCCTGCTTTTAGGTTTGTTCTCTCCTGCACCTTCTCCAGGTTTCTGGGTCCACATTCAGAAAACCCAGTCTCTTCCTGCTCTTCTTTCCTCCATCCCTAATTCCCAAAGAAGTTTGCCCAGGCCCTCCTACCCCTCACCTTGACATAATGCCAACATGTCTTCCTCTTCCTGGGTCATCCCCAGAAGGCGCAGGATATGTTCCCATGTGGTGCCAATGCAGTGGGCTATACCTGAGAGGGAGAGTACAAGAAAGACATTTCTCTTCCAGGGAGGGAGTCTTCCGGCATTACTGTAGAAGACCTTATTGACTAGGACACTGATGACTAGGGGCCAGGAGCACTGGGTTCTGCTCACTAGCTCTGCCTCCAAAGAGTACGGACAACCTGGAGTGAGTAACTTCATATAGCTGAGCTTCTGGGCCTCCCCGGTGGCGCAAGGGGTTAAGACATAGCCTATGAAGCTGTCTGCAGCCTCTGCAGCATGAGTTCGATTCCCCGGCTGGCCAGGGAGCAACCCACATGGCGCAGCAGACCGCTCCTGACTCCCTGCTGCTCCCCTCAGCAGTGTACTTCGGTCATTCTGCCTGTTCTGTTCCCCACTCTGTCTCTGGTGAATCCTCTCTCTCCCTGCACCTCTGGCCTATACCCCAGTTCGTCTATGCATAAATAAATAAAAATAAATCTTCAAATATATATAGAGAGATATATATTTATATAAAAATATATATAATATAGATATATATTATATTATTATAGATATATATCTATATCTGAGCTTCAGCTTCCTCCGCTGTCAACAAGGACTGCTATACCTGATGTGACTACGTCACAGGTCTGCTGGGAAGATCAGCTCAACAAGGCGTGCTAGCACAGCAAGCGAACACAAGGCCTTGCCACAGCCTGCGTACACACACTGCCCTCCAAGGGCCCTTAAGGAAACCAAGGGTCGTGCTATCTGAAGTTGGCGGGATTCGTTCAGGAGATGCATTTCTGCCATGGTGTGCCCTGTGCTTGCTTTGCAGCCAGCCCACATGCCTTTTCATTTGGACGCTTGTGTCCAGCAGGTCAGCTGACGTCCCACAGCCTCTCCTTAGATCCAACTCCAAGTGGTCAAGAAGGGGCAGGGGGTGTTATTTGTCCAGTGACTTGACTTTCCTGCCCGCTTGGTGTTGGAGGGAGGGAGAGGGGTGGGTGAGGGTGTGTCTGCTGTTACTGGTATCTGTGCCAGGAGGGAGCCCACATGGCAAGGCTTGGGCTCATCCTGCACAATAATGGATGTCAGCAGACAGACAAATCAAGCTATCGCCACAACCTACACACACACACTGCCTTCCAAGACCCTGACAGCTGCACAGCTTCAGGGTCCCCTAAACAAAGCATCCGTCACTTACTCTTCTGCTCCTTCCCACCACAGTTGAATGGGAGCATTCTCGTCTGTCTTTTCCCTCCATCTTCATTTGTTTCCAAGTCATTTCTCCTGTCCCAGTCCCCTCTGTCCTAATATTTTTCCTACTGTGCCACTCCTGGTCAGCCTCCCTCCTGAGTGCTCATCAATCCCACAGGAATCCTGGCTGGTCTCCTCCCCACTACACACCCCCAATTGCTCAGTAGAAATGTTCAGTGAGAGGAGGCAGGAGGATGGGCATGACAGCACCCCGCCCGTGACCAAGTCCTCAATTCAGACTCACTCTTCCACCACAGGGATCCATACCCGGGCAGACGGTGAGTTTCCCAACGGCAACCAGGAGGCTTCTGGGAGGCAAGGTGTACAGATAAACTCTGTCCCAGAGTTTTTCAGTGATCATTTCCGGATGGTAGGACCCTATAGCCAGTAGGACTGCAGTACATTTCTCCTCCAATTCTTTGGATGGCTTCTGAAAAGAGGAAGACTAAATGTCCCAAGGTTAATCTCCAAGATGAGTCCCCAGGCTGCTGAGAATCAGCTTTGGTCAAGAAGTAATTCTCTTCTATCCAAAGGGAAGGAATTTGGACCTCCCAGGTGGTGTAGGAGTTAAAGACACAGCACTATCAAGCTATCGGCAGCCACTGTGGCATGAATTCGATTCCCAGAGAGGGAGCCGGGTGCAGCAGACCACATGGTGCACCACATGGTGCAGCAGACCTCTCCTGTCTCGCCCGCAGCTCCCCTCAGCAGTGTATTGCAGTAAATCTGCCTGTTCTGCCCCCCACTCTGTCTCTAGTGAATCTTCTCACCCCCCCCACTCACCCCATTTCTTGTATGCATAAATAAATAAATCTTAAAAAAAATAAAAGGAATTCACCTACCCCACCTACCACCCTATCCAGTGTTCACCTTTCCAGTGATGGAGCACAAGAGCATCTTAGAGTGTGAGGGAGCACAAGAAGACAAGAAATCTCTGGCTTGTGTGTTGGGATAAGAGTTTGGATCAAGGTTCCCAGATCAGGGAGTTTCCCATGCAGCAGCTAGTAAACCACCAGGAAGGTGGGTAGATTGTGGAAGCAACTTTACAAAGCCCCTAGCAGGTCAAGGTTTTTGATGAGAGATGGGTATGGTAAGGAAGGTGAGTCAAGAGGAAGAAAAGATATCTATAGGTATATAATTACCCTAGAAAAGGAGATACCAGATTAACCCAGCACCAGGAAAGTCAATATGGAAGTATGTGGGTAGACTGTTAAGCAGAGTCATGAATATACAGTCTACGGGGTTGGGGGGGGGGAACTAGCAGACAGTTGGGTAGATTAAACAGGTTAGTAGATCGAGATGGCTGGTGGAGTGGCAGTAACAAAAGGGACTGTCTGCCCAGGGCATGGACAGTCTGAAGACCAGATCGGACTTTGAGGCCAATAGCCCAAATCCTTCTCTCCTTTGCATCTCACCTTTCACCTCTTCATTCCATAACAGTATCTGCATTTCTGTCTAGGTCACCATTCTTGGGATATATCCAGGGGTGAGATATGGGTTGTAGCAAACTGTCAGAAGCTTGAGGTACTCATATTCCAGGCCCCACTTAGTTTCTAAGTGCAATTACCCCCCACAAATGAACCTCTGGGTTCAGACCTAGGATTCTCTTTTCCCCCAGATCCCTCAACCCAGAGACACAGGCTCCTCACCAAGGTCCTCAGATACTTGATGATGACATCTGTCACTTTCTGGCACAGTGGAGGTGACAACTTGTTACTCGTGATTTTGATTTCCAGCATCTTGAGGGTTTGGAGGATAGTATCTGCTGACAACTATTGGAGAGAAGGGACTCAAAAGGAAGGAAGGTTGAAGGGTGGAGTTGTGAAGACAATAGCAATCCCTGGTAGAGCAAGGCAGAAGAGGAAACCTAGGAGAGGATAAAGCTGGACCAGTGGTCAGAGGGTGGGAAAGGGATGGTCAAGGCCATGGAACCAGCCCTGGAGCTGTGAATGGACTGAACAAATAGTGCCCTGCTGACTGGAAACTCTTCCCATGCCTCAGGAACAATGGGTCTAAGCCCAAATCACCCATTTGATGGAGGTGGTCTTACCCGGGCTGGAGTCAGGAAGGTGTCAGAGGTGCCCTCACCTGACCAGAAACTTGGAGGGCGTCATTAAAGTTCTCAATGGTCTTTTCTGAGACATCCCATGCCAAGTCCTTGTGAGTCGTCTCTGGGGAGGCTATCGTAGCTATTAACATGCCTGTAAGGAACAAAGAGAGAGAAAGGAAGCTGTGTCCCTCCTGCTGGAAGTCTTTCCTTTAAGAATAAGAAATCAGGGCCTCCCTAGTGGCGAAAGGGGTTAAGTCTCAGCACTAAGACACTGTCAGCAGCCACAGTGGTGAGAGTTTGATCCCCAGAGGGAGCTGACCCACATGGCGCAGCAGACCTCTCCTGACTCGCCCGCTGCTCCCCTCAGCAGTGTATTTCAGTTAGTCTGCCTGTTCTGTTCCCCACTCTGTCTCTGGTGAATCCTCTCACCCTCCTGCGCTTCTGACTGTACCCAGTGCTTGTATAAATAAATAAATCTTTTAAAAAAAATTAGAAAACAAATGGGAACATTTGCCCATAGCATTGCCTCCCGCTGACCAACTAGGGTAAGAACAACAAACCTGTGCTATGGGGAGACGAGGAAAACTGGTTAAGAAAACAATCCAGCAGATGATAATCTTGATATGTTACTCTTTTGGCTTCAGGTGTTCCAGGAGAAGAAAAAAGAAAACTATCTAATAATCACTATTAATTTGAGGGAGTTAAAAGCAGGGCAGAATTAAAATATTAGACAACACAACACAAAAGAGGAGATGAGGGAGGTTGTGAGGCAGCAAAGACCTCACAGATGCTTACCTTGTTTGGGATGATAGACGACAGGTCTATCATCAGAACTAGACTTTCTGAACCGGAGTTTAGAATGAATGCCTGAAATTTTCTAAGGGACAAATTACAGGTATTGCTTGAGTCGCAAATTCTTATTTCTAAATTTTCATTTCCTTTCATTTCTTGCAGTACCTCAATCTCAATACATCCCACATTGAATGCATTATCCTCTCCATCCAAACTCAACCCCTATCTCTGTCATCTTTGATTTCTCCTTTCCTTCACCACCCACATCCCTCTCAAGGGCAGAGACTTCTTATTAAAGCTCCCTCAGGGGCCTCCCCCCAGGTGGTGGTGGCGCCGTGGGTTGAGCACAGTGCTGTAGAGCTGTCTACAGCCTCTGCAGCACGGGTTCAATTCCCTGCCACGCAGGGAGACACCCACTTGGAGGGGCAGACCTCTCCTGTCTCGCCCACTGCTCCCCTCAACAGTGTATTTTCTGCCAGTCTGCCTCTTCTGCTCCCCACTCTATCTCGTGAATTCTCTTAGCCTCCCGCACCCCGGGCCTGTACCCCAGTTCTTGTATAAATAAATAAAATCTTTAAAAAAAAAAACCTCCCTCAAGTCCATCCCTCCCTTACACAGGCACTGTCCTGTCCAGGTTCATTTAGGACAGGGGCTGCAACTGACCTCCACCTCCACCCCAGAGTCTCTCTAGACCTGACCCTGCTCCAGTCTCTTTCTGTCCTTCTTACCCACACAAATGGAAAACAGCACTACAAGGAAGAAGTTCAGAAGACACAGAGCAAGTATCTCCTCGGAATACCATCTAATTGTTGGGAAATAATCACACCCTGGCAACGAAGCTTGGAATGTTCCACTAGGAACAAACCCACACCTTCTATTCCAAAGAACGGAAGGCAGAAGGCAGCCCCCTCTCATAAGCGTGACTCCTGCAGAGAAATGGCTTTCTCAGAACTTCCTTAAAACTCCTGCCATAGTACTTACTTAATAAATATCTCCCAACCTCCCTGGTGGTGCAGGGGTTAAAGTCTCAGAGTTTTGAAGCTATTTCCAGCCACTGTGGCATGAGTTCAACCCCTGGTCAGGGAGCAAGAAAGGCAAGGTATATTGTTTCTAAATCAAGCACCCAAAGTTACCCGTCCCCTAGTGGGTAAAAGTCCACCCAAGCAGGATTGACCCAGAGCAAAGCCCCAAAGCCTGCCCCAAGTCTAAAGCATCTTCCAGTGGGGACCCACAGAAAAGGATCAGAAACCACCAGACAAGTATGGAAGGAAAAGAGCAAAATCAAAATCAAGACAAAAACCGCCCACGGGTCTCTCACCCACATCTGTGTCACCCAGGCCACGACCAAAAGGCAAGCGCAGTTTCTTCACATGTCTCTCAGCTTCCAGTGCCTCCTCCAAGTCTCTTTCTGGCTCTTCATCCTGCTTCCTACCTTTTCTCAGTCTCCTCTGCAGCTGCTTCTCTCCCTGTTCAACTCCACCCTCCCTTGGGTGGGGCAGGAAACCCCTTTCCTGGGGACCACGCTGTTACAATCCCCCTTTTAATTTTTAGTTCACCATGTACTATGGTGGCACAGAACTCAGGGTGTAGTCTAATTGTTAGGGGGAAAAGGATGTCCTAAAGCTAATTTCATACAGGCTTTGTGGACTCCACCCCCATTCCAGACCAAAGCTATCAGGACACTGGGAAAGACAAATCCCATCACCACCAAAGGGAAGGTGGCTGGAACCGGAGGGTGGAGTTAAGCAGCCAGGTTTGGTATAAAACCAGACACGTGGGCTTTGGGAGGCTCCCTTTTTTGGCTCTCCGCCAGCTTGTAGCACTCAGCCAGCTCTCAGAGTGCCATTGGGTTTCCAGGTCGGCAGATCGGGTAGGACGTATTGAAGACTTTATTTCCCTATTTTCTCCCTGAGTTGTACATTTCCTCAATTCCTTTTCCCTTGTAAATAAACCTTTTATTAACCTTTTGTGTGTGCCTGTAGTGGAGTATTCATAAGTCCCTTTTAAGCGTGTGGGTGAGGACCCACAGCCAGGCAACCTGTTTTATATCGGGGCTGCTCCATAACATTAGGAGACGTCTTTTTTCAGGGTTACAATGTGTGTAAGAGAAGCAACAAATTAGGCAGCAGCACTGTCCATGAATGTCCAGTATGACAGTTTTCCATAACTGGAATATAGTCCATTTCCAAGCCTAAAGAAAAAAATCTGGAGCCATTAGCTAAAACAAGACGGCAAGTATATCAAATTCACAGGGAAAAAAATCTTAAAATTGGTTGAACTCATGTAAAAAAAAAAACAACAAGTTCTCTCAACCTTGATCCCAAATTGTTAACAGCATAGCAGAAGTTTGCAAACTAACTCTACTTTTAAACCATATTGCCTATTTTTGCATACAATCACAGGGCAGAATAACTAAACAGCAATTTTAGCTGGCTTGTTGGAATCAGGAGCAAACTCTTGACTTCTGGTCCACGTAGGCTTGAAGAACAAAGTTGGTCTCACCAGACTCCACCTGGGCTTCCTCTTCTCGAGGGTACCAGTGCTATTTCATTTTCTGGGTTGTCCAGTCCTGCCAATGGAGGCAAGCTTCCTCACCTTCTTTGGAGGTCTCTGGAACCCTACAAAGCAATAGGTTCTCCTCTTCTTGGTTCAGCTGTTTCAACTTCCTGGAAGAACTCCACTCAAAGCCACACAATGAAACTCAAGTCCAATTTTTTTAGTTTAAGCTGACAAAAGCCCTAAGGATGTTATGCAAAAACAGACTCTGAGATAAGTAGTAAAAAAAAATTACTACCACTATTTTTATGCTGTGTTGGTATCAAGGGGAGAGAAAATGTGCACACAAGTTAACTCTGCTGAAAAAAGAAAAAAAAAATTCAACATTGCTGCAGGTCCTGGTCAGTCAAAAGAAGAAAACTTTGTTGAATCAGAACAAAATATAACAAAATTTCCTGTATTAAGTCAAAACTTAGCAGAAGTCAGGTGTATCTCCAAGAGTCTATTCAGTCCTTTGTAGGAATTTTTTTTTTAAAACCCACCAAAAGTTCCTTCAATAGGAATCTGTTGAGGCCTTTCCTTCTTATTTTCTCCAGACACAATTTCTGTAGCTATCAAACAATTGAAGTATACGATATTACAAGGTGACAATCACCATTGACAATTTACATACATATCAGATACTGAGAGGTTTTATACATGTTTTGGAAAACCAATGTTAACATTTCTGCACATGTCAAAGTTTTACCATTTTCCCAAGTGACAAGGCTTCCCCGCTAGTTTTGTAACAGGGTAGTCCCCAGGAAAGGGGGAGGTTCCAGGTTCCCTGCCCTACCCAAGGGAGGGTGGAGCTGAGCAGGGAGAGAAGCTACAGAGGAGATTGAGAAGGAAGGAAGCAGGATGGAGAGCCAGGAGGAGACCTGGAGGAGGCGCATGGAGCCTAGAGACACGTGAAGAAACTGTGCTTGTCTTTTGGTCATGGACTGGGTGACACGGATGTGGGTGAGACCAATGGGGAGGTGACCATGGCAGCTTTTATCTTGATTTTGCTCTTTTCCTTCTGGGCTTGTCTGGTTGTTTCTGACCCTTTTCTGTGGGTCCCCACTGGAGGATGCTTTAGACTTGTGGCAGGTTTTGGGGCCTTGCTCTGGGCCAATCCCATTTGGATGGAGTTTTATCCATGAGGGGATGGGTTACTTTGGGTGCTTGATTTAGAAACTAGATTCTTTGCCTTTCCTGTATTGTTTCCTAGTTGTATTAAAGTTCTTTCCCATTAAAGTCTCCTATGTTTTGTGTTGATGCGGCTGATGGCAGAACCCATTTAGATAGGCAGGTTTGCGGGGTCTGGGCTGCCCCTCTCCCTGCCCTGTAATAGATTTACTTTACTAGGTAAACCAAATAGGACAAATTCCTCTAATGCCTTTCTCAGGAGGAAAGGGAGAAACTTTGTAGAGTGTCTCAGGAGCTCCACTGAGGTTCCACAAAATTTCTTTAGATCAACCAAATGACAGGCTACCAAACTTTTACTTGAATTTAGATTTCTGGGAAGCTTTGCCATAAAAATCAGAAAGCAACAGAAACAACAATATTCAATCTCTATGAAGGCATCAGCTTAGTTCAGTAGTATAATGTTGACAAGCAAACCATAACTTTTAGTTTTTTCCTCATAACTGGAGATTCTTTTTTTTCCAATGTCTATAGGCACCATGCATACCAATTTGTCCACCACTGAAGGCCAAGACAAAGACCCACAGAAAGGACATACAGACATACAACATATAGACAAAGACAGTTTTTTTTAGTGATGTCACGTGGACTATGTTATGTAACGGCAGTTTTACTCCATAGTCTCAGAAAAAAAATGTCAAAAAGTCCAAAAAAATGTGGAGTGTTGATGGCAGAAATCACAGGTTCCAGTTGTCATCCTACAAACCTAAGATTTTGGAAATAGAAAGAAAAAGTTTTATTAATTACAAGAATTACAAGACGTTGTTTATCACTTTAGGGTTTTCAGTGTTCAAGCCTTTTTACTGGAAGCCAATCCTGGGATATCCTGTACAGCAGCTGAAAGAGCAAAAGTAACAGTTAACTTTTAAGCAAAAGGAATCATTTCTTGTTAGCCACCAAGCAGGCAATACTTAGGTTTCCTGGAGCAGAACCTGAAAAAGCAAAATCAAAATATCAGCAATTAACTTTCAATTAAAAGGAGTCATCTCCTTACTTCTGTTAGCCACTTGGACAGAAGCTGAAAGAGCAGATTCAACATCAAAGCACAGATTACACCTCCCCCACACCAGGGAGGGAGACAGCAACAACACAGGTATGAAAACCTGGTATAGTTACATCATGCACCATAAAGAGTGCTTTCCACAGCAGACCTTCCTCCGTAGCAAGCAGAAACTTAGAATCTTGTCTTACACCAGCAATTAAATCCAGAATTCAAATGGCAAACATGCCCAAAACATATTGTGTAGACTAAATTCACAGCAGCAAATCCTTTTGTTATGGGACAGGGAGAGGGGCAGCCCAAAACCCCGCAAACCTGCCTATTCTAAATGGGTTCTGCCATCCGCCGCATCAACACAAAACATAGGAGACTTTAATGAAAAGGAACTTTAATAAAACTAGGAAACAATACAGGTAAGGCAAAGAGTCTAGTTTCTAGTCTAGTTTTTAAATGAAGCATCCAGAGTTACCCGTCCCCTCGTGGGTAAAAGTCCATCCAAATGGGATTGGCCCAGAACAAGGCCCCAAAGCCTGCTACAAGTCTAAAGCATCTTCCAGTGGGGACCCACAGAAAAGGGTCACAAACAACTGGACAAGCCCGGAAGGAAAAGAGCAAAATCAACATCAAGATAAAAGCTGCCATTGTCACCTCCCCACGGGTCTCACCCACATCTGTGTCACCCAGTCCACGACCAAAAGACAAGCGCAGTTTCTTCACGTGTCTCTAGGCTCCATGCGCCTCCTCCAGGTCTCCTTGCTCCATCCTGCTTCCTTCCTCCGTCTCTTCTGCAGCTTCTCCTCTTCCTGCTCAGCTCCACCCTCCCTTGGGTGGGGCAGGGAACCTCCCCCTTTCCTGGGGACCACCCTGTTGCACTTTCAGACTCAGACAAAATCTTTTTAATTTTTCTGATCCAGACTTTGCAAAAATTCAAGTTACCTCCAAGAATCCATCAAGGCTACCAGCAATTACCAGTTACTGCTTAAGGTTGCTCTTTCCTTAACACCCAGGCATACATTTGCTATTTTAAACATCACTGCTCCACAATTGGCTTGCAAAACCCCCAGGCAGAGGTCAGGAAGTAGCCAAAGACAAAGCAACATAACACTGAAGAATCATTATTGCCTTTAGAAATGCTAATGAGACAGCAAAGATCACAAAAAGAAAAAAGGTCCAAAGTCCTAGCAACTAAGAACCGCTGAGTTTTACAAGAGCCTGCCAAGTGGCCTCAGATGCCATCTTTGATTTGGCCACATGGTCCAACATACTACCTAAACTTTTGAGTAAATCTGTTACAGGGCAGGGAGAGGTGCACCCCAGACCCCCAAAACCTGCCTGCTCTAAATGGGTTCTATCGTCCGCTGCATCAACACAAAACATATGAGACTTTAATGGGAAGGAACTTTAATACAATTAGGAAACAATCCAGGAAAGGCAAAGAATCTAGTTTCTAAATCAAGCACCCAAAGTTACCCGTCCCCTCATGGGTAAAAGTCCACCCAAGCAGGATTGGCCCAGAGCAAGGCCCCAAAGCCTGCCACAAGTCTAAAGCATCTTCCAGTGGGGGCCCACAGAAAAGGATCAGAAACCACCAGACAAGTCTGGAAGGAAAAGAGCAAAATC